TTATTAATTATCGATATAATAGCGTTTAATTTATTTAATGTGGCACAAGAATAATTAAACTTGACTTTTCGCGACCCTATATATCTATTTAACGATTTAACAGAACCTTACTTAATAATTTACTTGTAGAAATACTTACTTGAAAGGGCAGTAATTAGCACTTAATTTGTAAATTAATTACTGAGAAGGATAAATAAAAACCAAACGCTGGCTGCTGTTTGCAGTAAATATTTAATAATAAAGAAACATTTGCACAAAAAAGAACATACATTGCGCCGAAAAAAGTTAAAACAATGTAATTGATACGTACGTTCTTTTTAATTTTAAATACTTTTTTATTATTAAACCGCAAATAGCAACCAAGATTTGGCTCTTATCTGCCCTTTTTTCTCTTCTGATTGTATATTTTAAGAGCTGTTAAATATATTAATTACTGAATATAAATACAAAATAGTTCTAAATTAAAGAGAGTACTTATTAGAATTATGTAATATTTCTTTTCTACTAAAGAAACCTAATGGTTTTAAACTTCGATTTTTCTGCCCATTAAACACTTTCTAAAAATAAATTCTGACATTCTCGATATTATGAATTTAATACTTTCGAAATTGTTTTGCACATACAAATAAATATCTATTTACACGAAGGAAATATCATATTATAAAGCCAATTATGTTTCTACTTTTAATACTTTTAGTAAATATTTTCCAAATATTGGAGTTGATATTTTATTTTGATAAGTTCGGAACCGTTACAATTAGACCCATTATAACCCCATTACAATCAGAATTACTAATGCGGTTTCCGATTAATTAATCGTGCACACATAAGCTTGAAAATCTCTCGATCTGCGTATAACGGTATGGCATACAGTGTATACGCTTTATTCGTCGTAAGAAGATATGAAACATTAGCGAATCGCATGTAGCGACGTTTATTCGGGCACAAATCGAGCCGTTACATTGCGTCGTTCGCGAGACAAAAAGATCGTCGGAAATCGCCGCACCGTAATCTCGCCGAATCACAATTTCGCGCCGCCGCAATCCCGTCTACGACACGCGCGTACACGCGTATTCCGCCCTATGAAGGCAATATTCCGATCGAACATGATAATAAAAAGCAACGGAATCTGGAATCGTTGGAAGACTCGGGTACTATCGACCTCCCGCCGGCCCTTCGCCTACACCCCTCGCCCGGCTTGTCGTTTGTTGCGATCCACTCACGTTTTCCCCGGGATAGGGCAAGGAATGCGTTTTGCCGTACTCCCTCCTTCTCTCTCTCTCTCTCTCTCTCGTTGTCCGTGCACACTGACACAGTGGCATCCACGGGCGGAATAGGGAAACTAAAAGGAAGCATCGCGGAAAAAGCAATGGAAAAAGAAGGAATGTATAAAGGATGGGCGCACATTTTCGCGAAGAAGCATTCACGCGGCCGCGCGCGCACTTTGGAATGCGAACCACGCCATACGCGAAATAACAATTTCGCCGCTCAAGTTGCCCGGTGTGTCGGCAGCGTCCCCGTCATGTTTTTGCCGATTTGAATTATTCGGGAACGCGGACGTATTCGCGTTACTCACTTGCATTCTTTCCGTTTCTCTCTCTCTCTCTCTTTCTCTCTCTCTCTCTCTTTCTCTCCGCACGTTGTCTCCACGCCGAGAAAATTGGCATGCGTCGTCGTCATCCTCGCGAATTTATTATTTGCTCGTGTAATTTTTGCGTAGCAAAGATACAACCTTCGTGGTTCGCGCCATTCGCGACGAGAACAAAGAAAGACGACTCCGATCTCGAAGGTTGCAACGTTTTTCTTATTATCAGTCATTGCGTTCCTTACGATCTTACATTGACGGACGGGAAGGGGGAGGGGGGAGGGCGAATAACGAATTTTTAGTTACCATAGTTCCCGACACTCACGAACCTCGGAATTTTTAATATATCCAAAATATGCGACGAGTTATTATATTGCAGATTATTTATCCGCTATCAAATACCGGCATTCTTTTGCGTAGACCCAAAGAATTTACGAACGCGGCTTATAGATAAGGCGTTTCACTCGGAAGCGGATAACACTTGTCCAGAATCTCTCGAGGGAATCAGAATTCCGATTTTCCGACGGAATCGGAATTCCGAACGCGCTTCCTCGTCACTCTCCGCTAACCTTATCGGCAAGTCGGCGCGGTTCTGCGATAAAGAAAAAAGACGAGTGAGTGAGTGGATGAGTGAGAGTGAAAGAGAGAGAGAGAAAGAGAGAGAGAGGAAATCCACACGACGAAGATTTTTGAGATTCGTTTTACGACGTACACTAAATAACAATTCCGTTCGCGCGTCGACGGCGGAACTTACGTTCACGCCGTCTTCCGGTCTGGGATTTGCCACCTTGGCGGCTCTTTTACTGTGCCTCCGCCTCTTTCTCTCTCTCTCTCTCTCTCTCTCTTTCAGTTTCTTATATCCTTAACTCTCTTTCTTCTTTCCACTCTCTATTTGCTTCCGGAGAACCGGACTAAATCACGCTCCGGCCTCCCTATCGCGCGCGCGGCGGAGAAGGGATGACTGGATTTATAGTTCACACGACTCTACGACGGTCCAGAAATCGCGCACGATGTGAATAATTTCGGCTGCACGTGTTTCTACGTACGTGCACGGAGCGGGCGTACATTTCTCTCTTTCTCTATCTCTCTCTCTCTCTCTCTCTCTTTCTCTCTCTCTCTCTTTCTCTCTCTGGGAATTTTCTCCCGCGATTTTTGAGTCGTTCTACGCGAATTGCATGCCGGGGCTTCCCGCAACCGCCGCATAGGAATGAGGAGTAAAAACGGCGACGAGCGAGTTTTGTTTAACCTACGCGCCGATCGTTTCCCCCGAGATCTTCCGTTTCCCTCCTTTCGTCGAACAGATAAGCGATATTCCGCGTCTCTCTCTCTCTGTCTCTCTTTCGATAACTTCGTAACGTAATGTTATCAATGATTGTATTACCGACACTTTCTCGAAGTTCGGCAGCCACTTCGACATCTTAAAATCTTAAATAAACATATAGAATAGACTGAACATTGACATTGCTGACATCGCTGTAGAGAGCTGAAGTCAAGATGAAAGAACGGAGATATGTTAATAGTGATATTTTCTCTGTTACACTATAGGAGAGGGCGATGTAGAGGAAATAGACAAGTGAAAATGCACATGATGAAGGAAAGAGAGGAATAATGTGTATTTGATTTTGTGAAAAGCCACATAAATAATACATCAGTATGTGTGTGTATGTGTATGTGTGTGTGTGTGCTCCTCGTAGTTATTAGTTTATAATACTTGTTACCATATGTCTCCTCTTTCCTTCTCCCCACCAACTGCACAATTAGACATGGAAAGCACTGCTTGTTCCATCGTCCTCTCTTACTAATGTCGGCTTCAGCCCTCCGACAGGAGTGCTCAGTCTATTTTACACGTTTATGATTAAAACGTCCCTTTTCGCACAGGCGTATCAAATCGGACGGAACACGCGCAAAAAAGAGATCGCAGGGCGCGTGCGTTCTGAAATCGCGAATTCCGAAATAACGTGAGGAAATTACGTAGCGAAATTCAGTGATACATCCCGAACACACACGTGACTCCCCCGCTCCCGCGGTGTTGCGTTACCGGCGAGTTTCCGACTCTCCGGCGAGTTTGAGTAACGCGAGGCCGTAAAGTTGCCTAAACACCAGATCGCATTTCTCATTGAGTTCACTAAGAGCCTTCTCGAGGATGCCTTTAATAATGTCGACGCCGGAGCGCCTCCTGAAATTTTATCGACCCCCGGCACAGGACGTGCCCCCGCCGGCAATAAATCACGAGTTTTTATTCCGCTCGCTCCGACGACGAGGACGCGCCTCGACAACGAGGACGGCTTCCACGAGCNGGGGGGGGGGGGACTGACGAGGGGATGAAGATGTTCGCGTTGAAACTGCAACGACCACAGAATTCTTGCATGCGGCGGAATCAGGACTGCTGACCGAGCTCCGTAACTGGATGCACCTGCTGTTATACGCAGGGCGCACACAGGGCGGATCGCTGACATATACTCTAGCTCGTGATGTTACCTCACACATACACACACACACGGAGGTGCACGTAGTATACGTATGGAAAAGCAGACAGACTTGTACACGCACACATGCGTTCGAACAAAATACGAGCGGAGCTCATTTTCAATTTGTTCCCGTCTTTCTGAAAAATAGAGAGAGGCCGCAGTCCTGCCTTTCCGCAAGCGCGCTGCGAATCTGTGTCTCCGGCGAAGGAGGCCGAGAGAGGAGGGAATCGTCATCCTCCGCGCCCTCTCAGCTCCTCGGCCTGTATATTCTGTTTCAGAGGACATTGAGGCCGGCTGCGACGAGGAACGACGGACTGTCGTAGCGAAAAATTTGCAGCCCACTCCGTTGTAATCTGATTATCTTTACAGGTGCAGTGTGCGGGCGACCTAAGAGGACATTTTTCTGTGACGGGTATCGAGATGGTGAAGCAACGTCGACGTATATATATATGCAATATGCATTCTGACCGCGTATTAATACGCGGTCAACGATCGCCCGCCGAGAAATCTCTGCGAGGCTAAAGTAGGAGTGAATAAGGATGATGGAATCGAAATTTTGCCGCTATTCTAGCATTCTTAACACGTTTGCTGCCGCGTGGGTGGGTCGTGTGTACACCCCACGTTAAATTTTCCCGTTTAGGCTACTTCACATTGTTGCTATTTACAAGTATAACTTACAAAATATATCATATATATTATTATATACAAAGCAAATTATATTGTTAAAATTGAACCTATTTTGCCATCTTTGCCCCTACTGTGTAGAATCGATGATTTAAGACGAAAATTTCGACCCAGACCAGTGTGGAAATGTGTAGGTGTCGACGATGCTTCGCTCATCTTCCTCCGGCGATTACGCTACGGCGTTGTTAATCTCATTGTTATTCTCGGATAATTATTAACGGTGGATCACTAATATTCGCAACGATCGCCAATAAATCGAACAGGTCCGAAACCTCGGCGAGGGCGGTAACACCTGCCTGGATTCGCCGGCGCGCAAGGCCGACTTGCACAAGCCGTGCGGACTGTACCCCTGCCATCGACAGGGCGGAAACCAGGTATAACAGACATTGCCAACGGGTCAGAAGAAATGTTGCATTATTGTTGTTCCCCGCTCGCGAAACGCCTGTCCTCGCTTGACGCGCAAGATCGCCGTTTATACGCATTCCCTAATGCCGCGAGACGGAAACGCGATTTTGGTTCAGGCGATGGTGATTTAAGCGCGGTTCAGCCTTCGAAGTTACTTCGTCGCCGCATCGGAAAATAAATTTGATCTACCTGGTGATGGACAATCAGACGCGTTTTGGTTGAGGAAAACGGGATTTCTGTTGTAAGAAATCAAATTTGGTTAATGAGAAGTAGAAATTTTGTTTCTCTCAGCAAAACGCCGTTGGTTATCAACACTGAAAGTGGAAAAAGTGCTATATTCAAGTAAATATTTGTTAAAGCCCGTATCAGATTACGAATTGAAGATTGAGATTGAATTAAAATGTGACTAATCAGTGCAAGGTTCGCTAAATTTCACTAAACTCGAATTTAATGAAATTTGCACCGACTGGCCAAGTTCAATTCAATTTCAATCTCCAATGCGTAGTCGGACATCGGCTTAAGAAGCATTGTCGTAGCTATTTCATTCGGATTTTACTCAATTCAAGACTGAAAATCTCCGAAAAAGATTATAATATTCTTGCTTATACATAAGAATACATACTCTTGATTTTACACTATCTTTCCGTGTAATGTGCTCTGAATTACTGCCGACATCACTTTTAAATGCAATGTAGATCAACTTGTCATATATTTTCCCAATTTTTCCATTATTTCGCTTTACAATACGTCCTTCAACCAGGTGGAATAATCACTTCGATATTCCTCGGCAAATACTCACTTCGACACAGCTTCTTCTTTCAGTTTATCATCACGTTAGACCTACAATCAAACGCTTACTTTTCAACGCGCCGCCGTTTGGAAATTCGCAGCTTCGTCAGCACGTGCCGGCGGCCGCGCGCTCTGCCGCGGACGGCTCGCTCGACTCAGAAATACGAAGAAGCGTCGCTTCGCGAGATCGTCGTCTGGAATTCCGAAAGAACTCAAACAATGGTCGCCCGACATTCCCAATCGCGCCGGGTTGTTCGGACTCGATGAGAGTCGTTCGAGCTCGCGAGTGCGCGCGCGATACTCTCTTTCTGTCTCTGATACTGCGACAATCAATATGATTCCGTGAGCTGAATGACACGCGCGAGAGAGAGAGAGAGAGAGAGCGATCGTTCGTTCGTTTGTTGCTCGCAACCACAGAATGACAGTGCTTGTTAGCGGCCGCGGGCCGTCGGTATTCGGCCTAATTATTATCGCATAATACTCGCGCTCGCGCGATTAAACAGCGCGCACAGATCGCGAGTGGTCGCGCGAACACGCAGCGCGGGATGCGGGCCATAATTTCGCCGCGGCGGCGGAGCTAATCGCAGCTACATACCAAATTACTAGAAAATCGAGTTTCCGTCTCATCGGCGATATCGACCGGCGCGCGCTATCCGCGTAGCCCCCTTCCCCGGAGGGGAAGGTGAGAGTTCACCCCTCTAATCGCGCGGGCGAACGGCCGCGTTCGTTCGTTCGTTCCATGTGCCATGTGCGTTCGCGCGCTTCCAGCTGCTTGGATTCTCGTGCATAGACAGACTTGGTGCGAAGGGTGACCGTGCACGAAATCATCGTCGGCCGTGCCGACGACGACGAGTACGACGTACGCGAGTCTCTCAGCCCCCGTTCGAACTAATCGTGTGAAATTCTGTTGGATTCTGAACGCAGATAAGGCAAGTCGCTACCGGCATATGTATAGATTCGCCGGGGAAATCCGAAGACCTGCATCAGCCGGTGGGCTTGTACCCCTGTCACCGCCAAGGCGGCAACCAGGTACAGGAAGCGCGGCGAAGCCGCGGGAGAGTCCACCGAGGACGTTGAGGGAATGAGAATGACGGGGGCAGATTAATCGGTTAAAGGCGAATTAATCCTCTCCGAGGGGCTTCTTCTTCTCTAATCGGTTGAGTGGTCGGTGAAGGATGGAACGGAGGAGGAGGGGGGGGGGGGCACGACAGGTGCAGGGGATTTTAATACACGCAGTGCGGCTCGCCGCCTCGCGGGTCTCGCATTTCCGTACGAAAGCCGATTCTCCGGTATAAACGCCTGTTCGCGTGCACGCTAACTCGCCGCGCGCGCTAATCGCGCCGCATTTCGGCGCAATTAGCAACGTCGCTAATCTGGTGCAGGTGCTCATCAATCCACGTCCCCCCCCCCGCCTAACCCCGTCCCCGTCTCGGCGCGATGACCTAAATCGCCTACCTTTTGGCGAAGGGTTACTCGCTAGCCCGCGGGTTATCGCGCCGTTTCTCACCGCCGATATCCGCGATCGCTGCGATTTAATCGCCGATTTTCCGCCTCGCTCCAGTCGCCGCAGCGAAGCGAAACGCTCGAAATTGCGGTTGGGACCTTAAACGATCCCCAAGTGGCCGATTCTTAAGTACGACTACACGCTTTGATCCCGACACGCTGAATTCGGTTCTGCCGATAGTCGCTTCGAAAGTTTCAAAAGTAAAACATGTTTGTTCTCCGGTGCAAATGGACCACCCTATACGAAAACAGAAAAGTTACTTCTTACAGTAGAAGACGATAACTAGTTTCCGGACGAATGTCTTTGTACATATCACAGTCACGTGCGAACACACGGGGAGAGAATTTTCCAGTGGAAATGATTGTAGAATTTTCCGAAGGGACAAAGGGATTTCCGATATCCTGCTTCAATTGATCACGCACGCTTCCACGCTCACACGTGCGCGATATTCGAATTCGATTTCGGGAACTGAAGTCCGCGCTGTTAAACAATTAATCGTGCTTCCTGACAAGATAAACTCACGGTAAAATTGAACGGAAGATCTATTTGAGAAAAGCTATGGATATGGGCGCGTGCATATTTATAGATTAGAGAATCGTAGATCGATGACGCTCGGCGACGAGCGATCGGAAGGAGCGCGCGAAAAATGCGCGTCTTCCAAAGGAATCAGCCGCACACGCCGTTTCGTCATCGCCGGCCGTCGCGTGGTGTAATCTGTGCGTGAAAAAACAAATCTCGCTCGCAATTTCATTAGCGGGCTGCCACTCGTCGCGACTATCGAGAACGCGACGATCGCGTGTTCGCGCGCGCACGCAAATCGCGGTAAATTCGCGCTTTATCTCGTTTCTTGCACTCGTTCGGTCCCGACGCGGTGTGTCTGTTATTAAAGCTACCCACATGGAACGCGCTGCGCGCGTGTGAGTATGTGCGCGCTCTCACAGACGGGAAGCGTTTAACAACCGTGGCGACCGGTTACAACCAAAAACACAATCAGTCGGTGCTTGCTTAGCCCGGCAAAGCGCCGCTTTAATTTAGCTGTTTGCCCTCGCAATTAAGCCGCGGTTTCACGGCAATTACGCTTTCGCTCGTCGCCCGGCTTGACGCTGATAAAGTCGCAGCGGGGAACTGCCGGGATCGGCCGCGATGCCGCGCGCGCGGATGATGGAAGATGAATAATCGTATCACACACGCGGATCGCGAGGATGGAAGGCGAGTGCATCGCGGGAGATAGCCGTTTACGGCCGACCCCTGCAACTACAATGCGGATCCGGGCGTGTGCGGAATTATCATCGGCATTATGCGCCCGGGGATCGCGCTCGGTATCACATCGCGCCACGTCACGCACAATTATCGGACCCCGCGATAACGTGGCACTGAGGAAAAGATTTCTTCCGGTTTGATCAATTAAATCCGCATCCAAACGAATTTCATCATTGGCACGTTTTAAAGAAACTTAAGTTTCGATTAATAAGCACGAATATTAGACCTCTTCGACGAATATATATCTTTATCTTAAATGAAAAAATTGGTTCAACGGATAATTTTCTCACGAAGAGCTTATTTGTTTATTATATTTATTATGACCGAATAATATTTCATTTGGTTGAGAGATATTATTTCAAATAATAGCGTTCCTTCTGTTAAATAATCGAGTTTCCCTGAGTGAGACAATCAAGTTTCCGCTCAAACAAATAATATTTCGTACGGGTGTGTGTTGTTTCTATGAAACAAATTTTAGTCAAATAGAAATACTAAATCTGAAGAAACTTTTTTCCTTTGTGTGCTCGCGCGAGTTGACAATTGTGTTTTTCCGCCGGCGCTGTGATGATACCGCACTTGGTAGATTCTCTCCTGAACTTTTAATTCTACGCGGAAAAAAATTAGCGTCAATTCAAAACTCGCATTTTTTTGTTTATATATAAAGAAGAATATATAATCTTATGTATAAGTGTATAATAGAGTATAATCTAAAGAATATAATCTTATATATAAGAATATATAATCTTATGTCTATATAAAACTTTTTCTTATACATGAAGAAATCTTATACAATTCTACTAAAATTATCATATTCTTGTTATTCAAGAATAATTTTTACGAATTGGAAATATATTGGATACACAGGAAAAAGCGCTGGAATCAAGTAAACTTAATTATCTGTTTTTCAGTCTCTTAAAACAAATTATATTTTTGTTAATTTGAATATATTTTAATGGCTCGTAGTGGATACTTACTGGAACGCGGTAATACCTTAATTTGTAAGTGAATTACTGAATGTAAGTACCCCGGGACACATTTCCTGCGTTTTTCAAGCAGTTTTACCGAATAGTTACATTCACTTCCGTCCAATAACTGAGGAATAAAACTATTTGGGATTCCAATCAAGACGTAACGCTTTTCCTGCAATTACTCTGAGAAGAAAGATATTTAAAAGTTATTCGTGAGATATTTATGAGCTTATTTCACAGAAATAAGATTGATTTTTGTGAATTATTCCATCTTATGTCCCATAAATAAATTCTTAAGTACGCTTTTAAATTATTCTGCGCACAAAATGATGCGCAAAATCTGAGCACATTTACCGAACGAGCACAGAACAATAAATGGGCAAGGAACTATTCAATTGATTAATAAGCAAACCTGTTGCTCATGAAATGAATTTGCCCCGGAAGTATCTCTGAATAAAACTCTGTCGAGTTCAGGTCCACTTCCTGTGCTAGTTGGAACAACAAAATCGAACCGATTTTTACTATCTTAGCTTCTACTGTACTGTGGAATTAAAGGTTCAACGTAGTGGGGGGGAGGGGTTCTACTCGGGCAACAACAACGAGGACGACGCGTTCACGCGTTTCCCATTTCCTACCTCCCTTCTTTCTCCCTCGCGCGCGCCCGTAGGCGCGTGCGGTGTGTAAAAAGCGCAACGCGATGATCATCGCGCGGATAAGCATGCGATGCGACACGTAACGCGAAGAGCGACGCTGGAGTTTTGCAACGCGCGCGCGCGTTTGTTTATATCACGCATAATATCGTGCGGGTGGAGAGCGCAACGCGTTGCAACGCGCGCGCTCCGATTTGAGAGTTTCAGGCAGAATGGAACGCAGCTCGTGCATGGCTAACGATGCTTGATGACGCATGTGCACGATGCGAATGTGCTTGCTTCTCGTTATCCCGGGGCTATCCCGCTATTCCCCTAATTATACTTGTAAAGCACTCGAAAACAGTATATTGTCAACCCGACGGTTCTGACAGCCGCTCTTTGTCCCCGATTCATCGTCCGTCCGTCCGTTTCCCGCACGAGGCTCTCGCAACAATCGCGAGAATCACGTGAAGACTCGCCGTTTCTTCTTTGATTAGAGAAATATGGACCGCCGATAGCTATTCATTTCAGACCAGTAGCCAAGAGGTGTCACCATCGACCAATTGAGGAATACGAGAACTAAAATTCCGTCATTTGTCGAGTGCTTCCCTTACAAAAAAGGTATTGCTGGATGTGATAAATTGACCAATGATAAATTATTGTTGCTGAACAATAGTTTCACTAAATAGTTTGCTAAATAGTTTTATTATTCGTATAAGTGATAAAACCGCTATTTATTACTGGCCAATTTAACGCAGCCAATAATATTTTTCTGTAAGGATTGTAGACAGTAGTAATCCACAGCAATTCATTTATTAGTATTGAAATAGAGAAATGTAACGAGAATTAAGAGTTTTAAAATATGGTAGTATACTGTTTTGTACAAGGCTGTCAATTTATAAAATATCAAAGTAAAAGAGAAAAGAAAATTTTGGTGTGCCTTATTATGGGTAATTTAACCTATTTAACATATTCTATCTAATTAAGTAATTTATATTTTATGTGTAAAGGTTAAATTATTATTATTTCATAATTTAATATCTCAAATCAGTAAATTCTATTCAATTAGCTGCAATTTTTATTTACGTATTTCATATTATTATACACAGAATACAAAATATATTATGATTGATATATCTTAAAATATGTTTATATTTCCCGATCTTTGATCGATGAGAGACTTAAACCTCGAAAAGTATCGAAGATATTGAGTACATTTTTTAACATAGCGATGAATAGGATGTATGACGTATTTTGGCAGTCTATACTTCTATAGTCAAAGCTCCGTTCACATTGGTCGAGCCTGTCTCCAACATAGACATATAGAATGGACTGAGCATTGCCGTTGCAATGAAGCTGAAGCCAAGATCGAAGGACAGAGATACGTTAATAGTGGTATTTTCTCTGCCACACAGCACTGTAAGAGAGGGTGATGTAGGAGAGATAGAACAATGATAATGGACATAGTTAAGGAAAAAAAGGAACATGTACTTGGTTACGTCAGAAGACACATAAATAATATACTAATGCGCGCTCCTACACAGAGAAAAAGGTTTCATTAGATTTAACATTTCTATTTATTTGACTAAAATTTGTTTCATAGAAACAACACGTACGAAATATTATTTGTTTGAGTAAAAATTGTATTGTCTCATTCAAGAAAATTTTATTAACAGAAAGAACGCTATTATTTGAAATAATATCTCTTAACCAAATAAAACATTATTTGATTACAATAAATATGTAAAGTGAAACAAATAAATTCTTTATAAGAAAATTATCTTTCGTTTCAAACAAATCTTTTTATCTAAGATAAAGATACATATTCGTTGAAGAGTCTAACAATCGTACTTATTAATCGAAACATTAGTTTCTTTCGAGCATGTCAATGATGAGATTTGTTTCGGTGCAATGAAATTAATTAAATCTGAAGAAATCTTTCTCTCCGTATAATTATTAATTCATAATACTTCTAACCATGTATCGCTTCTCCTCCCTCCTTCTCCTTGCCAACTTCCCAATTAAATAAGGAAAGCACTGCTGGCAACTATCGCCTTCTCTCGCTATGCCGGCTTCAACTTTCCAACGGGAATGCTCAGTCCATTCAATCTGTCTATGATCTCCAAATAGGAGAGAAAGGGAGAGAGAAAAAAACAAATAATCGAATCGAATAATTTTCCGCGACTTCGGCTCTGATCCGGTCACAACGGCCGGAGCCGGCGAACGCTCCAAGCGAACGAATTTGCAATTTTACCACCAATCGGAGACCTTTATGGGCGACGCGAGCGGCTCGTCGGCTCGTTCGCTGTCAATTCCAGGCGGCTGGAATTGCACAAACAACCGGTGTCAGATGAGTGCAATTTCGAGGACCGCCGGTTACTCGATTATCGACGATCGCCGCTCATTATGGCGTCCCGGCCGTCGCTTTGACGCGCTTACCTCGAATTCGTCGCGCGCCGTACGGTGAATAACTGCCGGCCGCGCACACTCTTGCGTCCGATTGTCGCGGGGACAAGTTATTTTACAAGCGACGCGCCATGTAATCGATCGGCCGTGTTGCGTTACACCACGAAAATTCGCGTCCCGCAATTTACCGCGCGCGGCCGCGATTACGCTCGTCGGGTGACGCGTACACGCCCGGCTCCTGCGCGTTCTTTTTTTCCCCCGTCTGTCCCGTCAGGACGCATACACGTGCGCACATATGTATGTACGCGCGCGATGCGGCGGATTAAACGGTTCTCGCTGATTTTTAACGTCCCCGCGGCGCGCGTTTCGCAAATATTCCCGGCAGGTAATATCGTTGTTTGACGGATCGCGATAATATGGCCGCGGGAACGCTTTGCGCGAATAGAGCTCGGCGGCAGGTTTACGATTGCCGAAGGTACAATTAATCCTTTGACCCCGAACAAGTCGCTCGGACCGCGCAAACGTATTGGCTTTTCGCGATTTTCTAAATTCTCGAAAAACGGTAGAAGGAAAGAGATTGACGAGAGTCTAGAATAAAGCGTAAAATTGGAACTTAGACAGCGGTCTCGCGAGTGGTGGTGGTTTTATTTAAGAAATCGTAATTTCTTTTTATTATTTTTATCACCAAATTGTAGAGTGATCAAGTCGAAAGATGGCTCTGCCAGAATGAAATACGACTAGTCCGCGTTTCAGAAACAATTTTTTTTATATATTACTGAAGATAGGTCGTCTTCAAGTGTCGGAAATAAGGTTTTCACGGGGGAAGAATATTTTCGCTGCGAAAGAATAGTTTATTTCTCTTGCAAAATGTTAATACATGTTGCTTGAAGAAATGATAAATTATTTAGGATTGCGTTTTGCAGAGCGCGCTCGCGTAGGTTACGCATTATATGATCCTAACGTGACACTACTGTTTATTATTTTCAATAAAGAAAGAAACGCGCGATCATAATACTTACTTACGTTCACATGCGAATTTTCAGCAGAAAAAACTCGCTTCACTCGTGGCGTTAAATTACACCGATCGCATATTATGGGTCTGAACACAAGCCTGCGTTAAATTCAAATAGTTCCGAAACACGCATTAATCGGCTTATTGGATCCACGCCACGTCTGTAACGGACAGACTCTCTAACGATTTTTCGGAAGTGGGAAGAACTATCGTAAATCGCGCATTTCTCTTCGCCGTGGTTCTCGAACACAGCTCACCGGGTCCGATTGATCCACAACGCGATCGAAGGGTAAAATGCGCAACTCGCTCGCGTCGAATTTTCTCTCTTTTCACTCCTCCGGTTTTCACATTTCTTCAACATTCGCGCGAGTCCCGATCTTACCACGAAGAGACGATGCTCTCTTCCCCGCGCGCGAAACTGTTTCTCTCGCGATGGCGTCTGTCAGAATCGTCGTGGCAGGAGGCAAGCTTGCACGAAATCCCGGACGCGCTAATCGAGATCGTTTATCGCACAGTACTGGATGCTCAGCAAGACGGGCGAGATCCGACGAGACGAGTCGTGCTTGGACTACAGCGGCAGCGACGTCATCCTCTATCCTTGCCACGGCAGTAAAGGGAATCAACAATGGATCTATAATCCTCAGGTAATGGTTTATCTCTCTCGAACTATCTCGCTAATTGAACGTAACGCGTCCGATAAAATCCTGAATCGTGATCCCGATTCAAGCTGAAGCCGGCTTTTCCAGCCGGTGAGAGAGAGAGAGAATTCTTTTTTATAATTTCAACAACTCCGCTCTCTCTCTCTCTCTCTTTCTCTCTCTATCTATCTATCTATCTATCTATCTATTTATCTATCTTACTCACTTTCTCCGCATGTAGAAAATTTTTTCTCGAAAATATAAACATTCATGAACCGAAAAAATACCATAGTATTGCCGGCTAAGATATGCTTGTAAAGTCGAAACGAAATTTCAAGGCAATATGGGAAATTTAGGAAGCAACGCGAACGACACGATTATAATTGCACATCGCTGCTCAGAAATCATGATATTACATAGTAAGTGTTTAACAAGGTCGGGAAAGCTGCTTTCTCAAAAGTTGTTGTGTTTTGTTAAACATTTAAAAAACACAAAAACCACTATCGAGCATTTAAATGGGCCTGTCTTTATTTTTTCCCCGTTCTTCATTTCTCTTCCTCTTCCTCGCATTTTTTAATATTCTTTTCTTCTTACGTGTACAAAATCGCTCTTATATCGATATTTGCGTGTTAAAGGAATTTATTTCCCCGCCAACGGACGAACTAAATAAATAAGAATGAGCGAAAATTGTCCACGCGCGCGAGATTTGCGCGAGACTAATTCCGAGTCTCTCGAGTCTCTCAGCTTCGCGCTCTTTGAAAGGAAAAAGGAAAGAAAGAAAATTGAAGAAAGGGTAAAGGGAAACTTGATCGCTTGAACTGAACTTAGTCATTTTCATTTGCAGACTAATCATATCAGGCACGGCAGCAGCGACAAGTGTCTGACGATCACGGAGAGCAAGCAGCAGCTGGTGATGGAGGAATGCTCGCCGAATGCGCCGAGGCAGAAGTGGTCCTTCGAGAATTACGACCCGTCGAAGCTGTGATACCGCGCCTTCTCACGCCGTCATTCGCACAATCCCAGCCAAGGTTCCGAACGCGTCGCCGGGAATTCCTGGCTGCCGGGCAAACGATACTCGATCGCCAAGACCCGCTTCGGCAGATAAATCGCGTGGGCGGTGAGGTCGCGTCGGATCCCGTCGTCGGGCGTCGTCCGTCTGCGAGATCGCAACGATCGTCGCGTACGATCACCGGAGTGCGAATCCGGTCCCTGGTGCAATTTCTTTCGCGATACCTCACGTATCGCGAAACGAGGAAAATCGGAGAGAAGAGAACCGTGTCGTCGTGTAGCGACACCTCTTCCGCGATCGATCGACGAGCGGAGAAGCCGAGAGACGACGACGGCGGCGACGACGACGACGACGAAGATCACGGAGGATCACGATGCAACGAAACACACTCGCGAGGACAATATGTTTAGAGAATTTTTTTACTCGGAAGGAACGGAACGGCGCANTATATATATATATATATATATATATATAAAGAGAGAGAGAGAGAGAGAGATTATATATATATATATATATCTCCAGTGAGCGAGGTCGCGCGTGGTGGCTCGGACCGATCGCGTCTCGACTTCAGCCTTCTACGTCGTAATCCTAAAGCAAAGAATAAGAATAAGAAGAAGAAGACGATAACGACGATGAAAAATACGGAAAAGAGGCAGGACTAAGAGTTTGCGTCGAAGCGAGAAAGAGACAGACCGGCGGCCCGAGGTGGCAGAAGAGAGAGGGTCGTGAACGAACGTGACCGTATCGATCGTATATCGCGCGGATCCTCTTGATCGTCACTTTCGTTCGCTGATTGTCGGCGCTTCCGCGATCATCGAGGGAGCGCGACGTCGCGCTCGCTCGTCGATCCTCGCGAATCCTCGTCGATCGCCTCTGCCTGGACGATGAGCGGTGGTTCACCTCTCTGTCCGTTTCCTCGGTCCCCGGTCGCGCGGCCACGACGCTCGGGAGTGCCCAGCAGCGGCCGCAAACACGAACTCTCCGAGAGCGTCTTCGAGCGAGTCCGAAGGAGTGTACGCGACGACGACAGCTGTCGTTGCAGATCCTTTTAGAAGACAGGAGTCAAGTGCCAAATTTTCAAATATGCCCCTTGCCACCGAGCAAATAACACCGTCACCAATGCGACCAACTCCGTCGCGCGTTGATCAACGCGCGACGAGCATGTAGCTGGCGCGCCGTTCGAGAGAACTTCTACTTGCGTGTACCGAGTGATTTAAGGAGATCGTATTAGGCGATATAGTCGCGCGCGTGCGCACCGTCGAACCTTTTCATTATATTCTCTGTCGGGGGACGTCGCGGGAGAGAAAGGGAGAAAGAAAAAATAAGGGCACTTTCAGACAGGCCGCTTTGTGGTGCCACATAGAAACGCCACAGAGCAATAGAGATGAGTCACTTTAATTTCTATTTTATGAACCACAAAAGTAACTTATTTGTGACGTTTCTCTGTACCACCACAAACCAGCGTCCGTCTATATGGGCCCGTTTAAACATTCGACTTTGTGTAGGCTGCTCTGTGGCGCCACAAAGTGACCTATCTGAAGGCGTTCTAAGAGAGACAGAGAGAGAGAGAGAGAGGGGGAGAGAGAGAAAGAGTGAAGCCCGGTGTGACGTTCGGAGGGAACGCGAGAAGAATTATAACTCCCTTGGCACGCGCCATTGCGTTAGGATAACCGCGTTATTCTCACGCAACGGCTCGCACGCGCGTCTAATCAGGTTCTATCATCGCCAGTTTATCTTGGCAATCGTCTGTCTGATCGGGCGTTGTCAAGATTTAGATACCCGCGAGGGGAATCGCGGTAGTGCGCGCGCGCGGATTGTTCTCTACCGGCAACCCGATGAAAATAAGAGAGAGAAAGAGAGAGAGAGAGAGAGAGGCCGACTATCCACCTTACCGCTGCGCAAACACGTATACGAAAATGTAAAAAATCTCGAGTCGTACGCTAAGGATCATTCCACGTGTTCAAGGCAATCGTCGGACATACGTCGCACGCCGCCCGCCGGTCGGCGACTCGACCGTTCGCTGCGACGACAATGCTCGTCGGTCGTCCGAGGTCCCTCTTTCCCTCTCTCAGGAGGTGAGTCCCGGTGCATTCCATGCTCCCGTGTTGTGCGGGAACGATGACGTCGAGAGAGGGAGACAGAGACGAAGACGGCGACATTTCCATTCGCGCGACAGAGAGAAAGAGAGAGAAAGAGAGATTGTATTTTTTCGGTTCTTAGTCTTTAATTTCTGTAGGATACTTGTGTAAGGTAATCGGAAACGCGAAGGGGAGGAAATAAAGAAGAAGAATAGGGGAGAAGCAGAAGATGTTGCGAAAGAGCATATTCCGAGGAGGCGACTCTCGTTCGATTTCGTTTGTACATTCGTGTAAGATATCATGTCTTGATGCCAGTTCAGGATATAAGTACCGCCTAAGTAGGTATAAGGATAGCGCGCCGACCATGCGTGTGCGAGCGACCGGTCGCGACCAGCGCGAGCGAACGGAGTTGCGACTACCGAACTCTATATTGTAGCTCATTCGGCATTATAAATCGTAGATATCAACTTGTGCTCTGGCGGCTCCGGGAAAGTTGTTTCATTCGCTAAATATTATCTTAAGGTAATCTTAAGGGCAAACCGATGCCTCCGATTTACAGTGCCGAACGCAGCTCATATTGGAATATTAGGTGCCATAGGAGGAAATAGGGCGAAATGAAAGACGGAGGAAATAAGTACTATCTAGATCCTTTTCTAATGTCCTGCTATTCCAATTGAAAGTGTCAGTTCATTGAAAGGTATCGCATTCGTAGCCTCCGTAATTGATAAAATTGTAATATTATTAAAAAGGAACAGGATAGATAGAAGAATGTTTAAATTCTGTATCGTAAAAAATGGTAGAAACTACGAAGAATACGGTTCGAGCATTACCTTTCGCAACACTGTTGACCATGTATCGTCAAAGTTGGAGGTACTCGTTGAAACAAAAGTCTTACGTAATTACGAAAGACATTTCGAGGCACGTACTACAAAGTGTTTACCTCCAAATTTGGAGATACTATCGCGTATCTCGAAATGTCCGTAATTACGTAAAGTTTCCATTTCAACATGTACCTCCAACTTAGGTGATACATAGTTAACAATGAAGCAAATCAATATATTCGAATGTCTGTAGAAAGGATCGTGAAAGATCATTGATCAGTCAAAAATCACCAGACCGAGGAGGAAATGGTACTACCTAGTCTTCTTCTAACATGGCACCTAACATTCCAAGCTACGTTCAGAAACACTGAGTAGCTCGTTGTGTATTTGCGTGAAATCGTTCGGAAACGTACGGGAAGTCACACCGCTACCAAATCACTCAATGAGAAAGCAGTGGGAAAGTCTGCGGTCTGAGTCGATGTGTTACTGCCTGGTTACTTATGTCGTAACCTTTTCATTGTTGTCAACCTTGTCATAGCAGCAAGAAATAACGTATGACAATATTACATTGGTAGAATATGACACGTGCCCGGGAGAAAATGATTATATATGATTATATATAATTATATAGAATCATACATTATACATAATTATATAGAATCATACATTATATATAATTATATAGAATCATATATGAATTTTGCCTACACATGCAGTTACATATATGATCATACATGCTTATACGAGAAAAAATATGTCATTTAATTAAATGCCGATATCACGTGTTGTCAGAAGCACAAGTAGCCGGAAGCATTTACTTCGATTGTACTTGCATATAACTTGTAAACAACAGTATTTTTTCGTTGTGGACGTGTATGATTACACGTAGTCATACATGGGCAAATTTCATGTATGATCTTTTTTTCCCGGGTATGTTTAATTCCGATGAAAATTTTTTAAGTGTACCCCTGGAACTGCCCACTGCTTTCCCATTGAAATCACGAAGGCACACTAAAAGTGATGTTTCCGAACGCAGGCATAGTGTAGAATTCAGTGGTCGCGACGATTCGGCGACGACGATCGCCGACACTCGAGCGCCCGCCGCCGCGCGAAATATTCCACGAAGAAGGGGAAGGAGGCGCGCTATTTTAGGGGAATGTGGGAATCTTATCTTGAAACTTTCACTACATATCGCGTATGTATGAGGCCGAGCGTCGGGCGTGGGAGTAAGTATACACACAGTCTTCGTAATAAAGATAGGAAGCGCGCGCGCGCGAAACGATCCGACGTCGTCGACGGACGCGTCACAGTGTCCTCCTGTGTCCTCGGTCGGTTAGTCGTGAGACACGCGTTTGAACATATACGAGACGTTCTCTCACCCACCCGGGGGAGGATCCGGACTCGCTTCTCGCCTCGTCGATCGTTCCTTCCGCTTCCTTCTCGCGAAGGACTCGTCCGACTCGAGACGCGCGATCCGCGATCATGATTTCCGCGCGCCAACGAGATCGCAAGTGCATCACGGCGAACGACCGTCATTCTCTTGAATGCGTTTGTCCGTGTCACAGTTCGCTCGTCTTTTCCTTTTTTTCTTTTCTCTCTTTATTTTCTCATATGCAAGATGCCCCAAAATTCCCTTGGTAAATATGTCGAGAAAAGTCATTATTTATAGCGACTTCGTAATTTTTAACATAATACATCTTTGAAGCTAAGCCTTAGATTAAAATACTGTTCGAGTAAAATCTACTTGAAATTGACCGAAAAAGAAAATTTTGTTACCTATTTGTGCGCCCAAGCGCTAAGCTCGCGAAAATCATCATTTTATCAATCGTTCGTTTCTCACTGTTCGAGTGGAATTTTAAAGAAAAAAGTTATTTCTTTTAGTATTAAAAATCTTCCTATATACTCCGCATGCTGGAATTTTGAGACGCCTTGTATAGAATATAATACCGGAACCAGCGTGTGTCATCAACATGATAGATTCTTTGGGACGTTTCAAGACGAAAATTCCAGTGCGAAAATGTCGAGATATCAATAGTTTCTGAGATGCAAGCGATCGGAAAAGCGGAACTCTTCCAAAACTAAACTTCGAACGACCAAATGGATAGGAAAATTATTCCCATCGATCAATTTCAGGTGGATTTTACTTTAACAGAAGTTTACTTTAGTCTATAAAAATATGTTACACGTTGGAAATTGAAAAGTCGAATAAGAACGACCCCCACGACATTTTCGTACTTGAACTTTCGTCCCGAGGAATCTGTCATGTTAAGGACACACGTCGATTTTGGGACGTCCTGTATACGAGTTTCATTGTACGACGCAATTTGAAACATATCTTCGCCGTCTGCGTGAACGCATACCTTTGCGTCCCCCGTTGAATTCACACGCGACATCGGCGTTCTCTCAGAAGAGAAGAGAGTACAGGAATGGCATTTTTCCGTGTTGGATCCTCGAAGAGGGACCGCATGCGTGGAGCAACGCAACGCAGAACGTAGAAATCCCCGTGCAAATTAGCGGGATCGGAGAAACGGAGCTCGGGGTCGGAGAGAGGAAGCGAGGAGGAAGATCGGGGGATCGCGCTCTTAGCGACGCGTTTGGATTCACGTTTTCGCGCGTCAATTAGTCGCGAGAGCTGCGCGAGTGAGTGCATCGGCGGATTTAATCGCGCAAGGTATTCCGCGGGAGAAAGAGCGGGAGAGAAAGACGCGAGACGAGTCTGAACTAATCCGTGTACGATTGTGTGCGTGTGTGTGTGTGTGTTGTGTGCTTAATTAGATATGTCTCTAATTAGCGGTTCTAATCTTAGGGATAAAGGAGTCCGTGCGGAGGCCGCGGTTTTGCCAATGCGAAACGTCGGATAATCGGTGTAGGGCGGAAGGAAATGCGATTGCGGACGGAGAACGTGGATAACGATTCGCCGCAAGGCGAATCCGTCTCGCGCGCGGGTGGGTTTATCGGGATGTTAGAGAGAGAGAGAGAGAGAGAGAGAGAGAGAAAGAGGGAAGAAAGAGAGAGAGAACGAGTTTATACAGATTATAAATATATATATGACATTTTCTACATTTGGTAAGGACGTTGCATATCGTGAGGTAAGGAGGACGATTGATAGTAATAATTAAAGAAGGAAACAAGCAAGATTTAAACGTGAGTAACGCGACCGCCGCGCCGCCGGGACGCGCGCGCGTTTAATTAATGAATATCGAACGTGCCTTATTTCGTGTATATATGAATATTATTATCATTATTATCATTATTACAAACCTCTATCATAACGTGCAAGTATTTGTGTTGAATAAATCGATGTTGTTTTATGTTACCGACGCATTTCTGCCAACCCAACTGCGCCGACCGTGCTTAATCCCAATCTCGACGTCTGAAACGAAGTCCGCGTGTCGTAAAATCGTTCCTCCTCCCAAACGGAGGAAAAGACTTTTTTGGATTTAATAAAATATCTTCGATGGAGACAAATTTGTCTTTTAGAATGAAAGCGAATAAACGAATGTTTGATTCAACAAACGGGATTGTTTGGTCCCTCAAACGATAAATATATCTTTAAATCGTCAAATGAAATCATCAAATTCAAGCCGAGCAAACGTGTACTAAATCCGAAGAAATCTGTTTCTCTGTATAATATTAAAAATAATTCTTGATCAATTCATAGCTCATGATTGCATACGATGACGAAGATTCTGGGTATTCAAGGACTATGCGTTAAGCTGGACACGCACTGAAGGAACAGCGAACTCTTATTGTTACAATTTGGAAACTGTGCACGCCACGACGAATCCTAACAGAACCCGAGTCGCAATTTAATCCCACTTTAAATCTAATTTTGTTCTACATTAAAGATCAAAGGTTCAAAGGTTCTTCTATTGTGATCGTTTGATGTTACAAATGGGCAATTTATCGCCGTTTATTTTTGAAGACTTAACGTAGAACGAAAATTTAGGGTCTGGAGATTTCAACTCCCATTTGCGCATTAAAGGAGCGCTTGTTGCCCCGTTTTCTTCCCCTCGTGGGCTTAATGTAGAATTCCAAATTTCGAGAATTTGCGATTCGCGGAGCCGATCCGAGTAAGTTTATAAAGGAAAGTCTATCTAAAATTCAAATGCACTCTGCACTTGCTGTTCGTTCGCTCGGCGGTACACCCGGCTTTACACGCGAAGTCTTCTCAAGGGGAAAGTATAAATAGGATTCGCCGCGGTGGATGAAACGCCGCGTGGAAACGGAGCGCGCCGCAGTTTTCCAGGCCGGCCTTGACCCGATTTCCCGATTGCCCCTGGCTCCCGGGCTTTCGAGGAGCAAGATAAAACGTCAGGGATCAATAATATCACGGCGGAAAAATCCGGCGACGCGAATAATCGCGGACTAGTATCGTCGTGGCTTCGCCCCGAGGACTTCGCCGCGGCTCGCGGAAAGGCGCGAGAGGCCCTCCTCGCGGGGCCGTGAAAATTCATTTCCGCATGCATCCGAGTTCGCCCGTCAGTCTGGGAGGAGAAGGCCGTCTCCGCTCAAGTCGCGGCCCTGCCGAGCCATTTAACAATTATCGGGGCTCGCCGCGAACGTGAGATCGCTCGTTATTCCAGCGCAGGCGTATTCCGGCGGGCCGCCGCTGTGCGAGAGACTCCACTCGGCGAGGTAGAGACCAGGGACTGCGTTCCGTAAGAGGATTCTACGGAGGGTGCGGACTTCCCCGTAGCGCATGAAAACGTCAAGCGCGTCGAGTCGATATTCTCCTTCGTAGGTTTCAACTCGTCCGTGCAAGAGGAGGATGTCGGGGATCAGCGGAGGTCAACGGTAAAGCGTTGTGGAGTATAAAGACTCGACTCATCGCGCAGGTGTATCGTAGGATGTTTCTCGTTTCCGGATAACGCGCGGCCACGACGCTTGCCTGCGCGGTTGCGGATCGTCGAAATTGATAATAATTAATAATAATTGGTGATTAATTCTTTTTTTTTACGACGGATGGAGCCCACTTGCAGGCTGTTTCCGCACATCAAAGAGCAACGTAACGACGGCGGTCTGCGCGCTCGAGGAAGGTTCACGGCACGAGCGAGCGCAATTTCGAGAACGTCGCAGTCGCGCGCATCTTCTCCAGCCGCCCTTGCTACTTGTTGCAGCACCGTCGGGTCATATTGATTAGGGGAGAAAGATAGCGTGGCCCCGGACGGGACGAAAGTTCCTTCACCGACACGAATGAGAATCCGATCCACAGCGGCGGATTTTGAGCTTGACCCGGATTCGTCACACGGAGCTGCGGAGAGAGTTCACGTTCACCTTCACTTTCGTTGCTCGCGTTGAGGGGGTGTCCCTCGGAGTCGTCCTGTTACACCGCAAATTTGTCAATGCTGTATACTCGTTATTGGCTACGCAGAATGACGAATCCTCTCGCACGATTACGACACGCGCGTTAATGCAGGCGAAGACGGTTGACTCCATTCGAAAGACGAAAGAAAGTTTTGTAGTTTGTTGACTTCTTTCGACGGGATCGAGCTGATTCTCGTGGAATTGTGAGAAATTTTATGTCGAGCTTTCGTTCCTCAGGAACGCAGATTGGAAGGGTAGATCTCCCGATAGGAAGAAAACTACATGTCGATTAGACCATTAGACAGGCATATCAAATTAGACAGTTACAGAGAGAGAGAGAGAGAGAGAGAGATATTTATTATGCGCTCCTGAAGATAATCTCCTAAAGCGCCATTCCCAGTAGAAAAAATATACAATTTTATTATATGTATCTTATATATAACTTATAACTTATATATAACTTATACTTATATATTATATATAACTTATATATATAACTTATATGTAACTACAAAAAAAAAATTAGGTAATTGGAGATAGATTTTAACTATTCTTTAACTATTCAGATAATCATAATTATAATTTTACATAATACAACATGGTGTGTCAGTGTAACAACTTTGGTCTGGCGTCTTCCGCATTTGAGAATGCTCGAAACTAATGCTCATACAGTTTATTTTCAAAATTTGTAATAATATTCTGTCCATTCCTATTTAAGTTCAATAATTTTAATAAATTTTAATACTAATTTATACCCCTGATTGCCTAAGAAAGAGAGAGAAAGAGGGAGAGAAAGAGAGAAAGAAAGAGAGAGAGGGAGGAAAGATAGAAGTCGTCCAGGTCGAGCCGGCGCAGAAGCCTCGCTCGTGAGATTCGATCGGCGCCTGGCGTGACGCAGGCGCCGCGCAGACGCCTCGTTGACGCGCTTCATCGACAGGAAGATTTGCATTTCGTGCACTTCTGCTCGCTCAGAGACTCCGCGCGCGCTCTCTTTCTCTCTCTCTCTCTCTCTTTCTCTCCCTCTCTCCCTCTCCCCCTGTGTGCTTGCTCTCACTCTCATCGGCCGCGATTCGACGTCCATTCACGGATCTCCGCTTAACCGCGACGTGTCATCCACGCCCTCGGGTCTCCCTCGCGGAGCGGAAGCCGCGCGAACGTTTTCCCGTGTCCGCGATTTCCGCCGGAAACTCTCGCGTCTCGCTCTCTTTTTCTCCGTCTCTCCCTCTCCCCCTCCTCCCCCTCACTCACTCTCTCTTTCTCATTCTCTCTCTCGCTCGAGGCGCCGCGTCACGCAACGCCCACGCGCGAAAGCTCTCGCGTCTCGCCGCTTGCGTCAGGAGAACCATCGCACGGAGGAGGCGGCACGGCAAGCGTCCCGGGGAGACGTCAGACACGCGTTCATCGTCCTCCGCCGTCGCGGAAATCGGCCCCCTTTCCGAAAAGGGAAACGGCAGAGAGCGAGAGAACGCGAGTTTCGCGCCCGCCGGATACACTCCCTCGTCGTCGTCGTCGTCATCGCGCGATCGTGCACCCGCGGTATCGATCTGGACCGGCGGATTGATCCATCGCGCTACGTGTCCACGGATTACTCGCAAGGTAAATCGCGCATTATCGCGCTCGGTCATCGCGATTCTCTCTCCTCCCGTCGTAGACGCTCGTCATCCGGACGAGCCGGCCGTTGTTTTTCACGATTCTGATTTTGCGTTTTCTTTGTTATTCACATCGGGGCCTCCTCGGTTCTCTCTCTCTTTCCTTCCGTTCGGATTGCACTATGTTGCTGCTCGCGTACAGTAGAGAATACCCGCCGACGGAGGAGAAAGCACGCTCGATCCTCGCGATCGGCTAGTCCTTCCTAATAGAATTTGCACGTTGTTCGCGCTCGCCCGACTATCGTATGTATGCGGTAAAATATCTCACGCATTCTTCACCGGCGCATTCTGTCCGCCAGCTAACGTACGACTGGTTTCACCGGGGACATTCGAGAAGTGATTTAAAAGTGTTTTTTCGAGGCAAGAGCAGCCCGGCAAGCGAAGGGGCTCCGGGACCAACGCAACAGGTAACACTTGGCTTTCAATGTACAGGGCGCATTGCCTCCCCCCCCTCCCCTCTCTTTCGTGTCCGATTCCTCCCCGTCTCGCAGAGCTTTCTGCCTTCGACTCTTCAACAATCTTTCTTTTAACGATCGTTACATCCGTACGTGGGAAAAAGTTAGATCGTATTAACCAGATGGAGAACAACCAGATGTGTTTTGCTCGAAGGAAATTCTGCTTCTTAAGACCCAAATGTGATTCTTATAGTCAGAAATTCTCTTCCCTTCAACCAGGACGCATCTGGCTGTTCCCTTTAACGCAACCTGATCTATTTTCCCGTGTACATGTATTTTCATGACGTTAATTTAATTCCGATAAGGTCTCGACGAAATCGAACGTCGCGGTTTCTTTGCCGCGCTGTCTCGTCGCGTTATTTGCCGCGACGCTCGATGAGAGACGCGACAATGCGCGACCAGTAATTGAAGCGCACGGGGGGGTAGGAATAATGAGCGGGCTCGAGGCGTGTCCGCGCGCTATTTTTCCACGCGACGAGCCTCACTTTAAACAAGCGCGCTAAGGTGCGTCGCAGACCGAGTTAAAGGGGCTGGTACGCTAAGGGACGCCTCGTTGACCAGCCTGCAAATTCCTCGCCTCGACAGAAGCGAGCCTGCGCCTTTTAACTCCCCGTGCTATGCGAAATTCCTCTTTAATACGAGATGCCGTCTCGTCTCGTCGATTATATCTCTAGTCACCTTTGTTGAAAAGTCCAACAATCGTACTTATTAATCGAAACATCAGTTTTTTTGGAGCATGTCAATGATGAGATTTGTTTCGATGCGATAAAATTTATGAAACCTGAAGAAATCTTGTTCTCACTACGTACAAGTCATAGTGGAAGAATCCTTCCACCTGCTCGTTCAAGGGTTTCCGATGTTGAACGGTTTTCGAACAGAAGTTTGTCCGGTCGCACTCTTATTAGACAGACCGCACAGAGTGTTGCATCAACACACAGCTCATTACGACGGGTTGCCTGGCCAGAAGCGCGCGTGAGAGAGCGAGAGCGACCGATCCGAGTTCCCGAGGCGCGCTCTCACTCTCTCACGCGTGCCCCTACCGCGTGCAACCTGTCGTAATGAGCTGTATATTGATGCAACACCCTTACACGTTGTTCGACGAGGGCAAATGTCACCCACGTTGAGTCGTTCAATCACGGAATTGAGGATGAATTATTTAAGGAATCGATTAAAGAGTTAGGTAATCGGCGAAATTCGAAAGAATAGATTTCGACGATCGATGTGTTCCTACGGTGCTCTTATAAGAGGAATGAACCGCAGAGGAGCATGGGTCCGATGCCAGAGGCTTCAGGATCGGGGATGATCGTCGACGAGTCCGACTACTCGACCTTCGAGAATAAAACCGGCCTGGCAGAGGATATGAAGTTCCTCGCGAGCATGCCAGAGCTGTGCGACGTGACCTTCCTCGTCGGCGACACCCGGGAACCCGTTTGCGCCGTGAAGGCCGTGCTCGCGGCCAGAAGCAGGTTCGTTGCAGGCATGAGAGAGGAGACACAGAAGAAGAGAGACAATATCCGTGCACAGTGAACAGTCGCCAAAGATAAAATGGTTTTAATTATTTTTTCCACCTTTTTTTTTACTTTCCTCATTTATTTGTAATCGATTAAGTATGCGCAGGTGAAGCAGTCGTACCAACCACATTGCTGTTTGCCTCGCCTATTGGTTCCTTACGCTGGTATTGATTTTTGTTTTTTCGATTTTGTGTTATATTATCCTTACTTATCGGTTTTCTGGAGCCAATAAAATTATTATTATTATTATTATTATCATCACTATTATTATTATATTGCGGAACGACGATACGTCGGGATTGTAGGCGACTTTTGTAACTCTTTCCCGCCGTTTACAGAGTCTTCCACAAGATGCTGTACCAAACGCCGAGCCCGCAACGTAAGAGAGAGATGCCGCGCGAGAACAAAATCCGGCTTTTCCTCAAACGCAGCTCCGAGCCGCTGTTGAACCTGCAGAACGCGGCGCAACAGGTACGCCCGGCCGACCGGTCGATACGCGATCGAGATCACGTATCGATCGTCGAGGGAAATGTAAGCACGGCTGACCGACGTGTCGCGGCGATAATCGCGCGAGTCGCTGTGTTACAGGCGCGAAAACCGGCGAGTCTCTTTCCGATTACGCGGAAAGTGTTTCCGCAGACTTATTCCACTGGATTAGTTTATTCTTCAGAAAGCCAGTATGCGCATAATATAAAGACAAGACTGACGTGCAGCGGACGAGTCGAGATTCTTCCTTTTGCTTTCTTTCAGAGAAAATATAACGATATTGTACATATTGTATCGTGTATAAAATAGATATGGAGAATTTCTCGAGAACGGAAAAGGCGAGCGCGTTCGATACGTACAAGGAGTCCCTGACGATTACTCTCATTCGCCGTGAACGCGAATTTAATCGAAAGGAAATCAGACTTCGACCCTATTAGTGTGCTTATTAGCGTGGAGGAATAGTACGAAAATTGACAGTATGATAAACCGAAATATCTATGTTTCTTGCCTGTAAAGTATCGAATATGTATTGGACATAACATGAATTTCGTCTACTGTGTGTGAACGCCTACAACAGCCAAATTATTTTTTCCGTGCAACAAAATTTTTGCTGTCACTATATTAACGAACAATTTGCTGTTCTAGCGAAACTTGTTTTCCCCGTGCAAGGTCGCCCTGTGGTATATCGGTTTTCGTGCTTTTCTTTTGCAATATGTAAAGTCAAGTGATACATGTCAATTAAACGTATATCTCAGCGAGGAGATGGCGGTTCCTCGACAGTTCTCGCGGGACGCCTTGCGCGTCAATCGCGACGATCTCGCCGCAAACGAATCTTCCGCATTTACCAGACTAGAAATAGTAAGTGTGCATTTGTATATGTCATATAGCGGTCAGGGTTCACGCAGCAACTGGCCCCCATCCAAGAGGTACTTTGAACGTCACTTTTACGTACAATTTCACACGCAAATCGAGATCGTGTCTATCCCTCCTGCACCTCTTTTTCTCTTCGTCCTTCGATCTCGTCGTCGTCTTTCCAATCTGCATTTTTAATCGAATCTCTCGGCGTTTTACTCCTTCTCCTTCTTCCTCTCTTCTCTTCGTTTCTTCCGCTCTCTGCATTTTTTTTTTCATTCCGCGATTCTGCCTCCGCAGACATTCGCATTCGTTTGGATTTTTCTTAGAGAAAACCGTTTCTTAGAAGCGCTCGCATAGATGACTACAGATGAGATCAGTGTGTGGCAAATCGATGTTGGCCTGCCTTCATTCTCTAATTCGATAGCTTCCGTTGCCGAGGATAATTATTATCGGAATAATTATCATCTTGTGCTCGAACGTTCCTCTGGTAAAATTCATATGGTCACGGTTGGCGTGAAACGTTGGTTCCGCACTTAGACTTCTGCATGATCGATTGGACTGTACGCAAAGAAAAAGATTTCTTTGGATTTAGCATACGTATTTGTTTAACTTAAAATTGTTCAATACAAACAAATAATTTAATATTAAATATCAATACAAACAAATAATTTAATATTATATAATTTAATATTAAATATCATTTTGTTTGAATAAAAATGTTGCCTCACTAGAGTAAACCGTATTGTTTCATAGAAAAAACAGTATTACTTAGAGGAACATTCTCGTTTTCAATAAAAAAATGCATCTCATTACACAGGTGTTTCACGCAACGCGTCCTGTATAAATATTGTTCCATATTGTTCCATATGTTAAATATTGTTCCACTGAACAAAAATGTTCTTTGATATTTTACTAACACAGTAGTCGCTTTTTTCGAGTAATTTATTAATAATCATTGATAATCATTGTCATGGATTTGAATGGAAATGCGAGAGAAATGTATTATTATTTGATGTAAAGATATTTATTGTTTGAGAAACCGAACAATCCTGTTTGTCAAACATTCTTTTATTTCAAAATGCAAATTTGCTTCAATCAAAGAAACTTTATTAAATCCAACAAAATTTCTCTCTCTGTGTATATTCTCGTAGTCACCATACATGTAGATCGCAATAGTTGTATACATTGGCACGTTACGGTCCTCACTATTTTAAATAATTCACATCGGCTCACGATCATTCACTTTGCTCGACCGATCAAGCGAACATAAGTCCTAATTCTTAGGGAGTGCAAGACAAATCATGGAATACGACTTTAAGCCATGCAAAAACGGCCAATGTGAATTGCCTTTGAAGTCGACGAAAATAACGCTCAAATATGCTCGCTTGGTTGTTAATTAGATGACATAGTTTTACTTTACCTTTCTGACGATGTTAAGTCTGCACCTGAGTAAGATATATATTGCGTTATTAGAGTAGCAAGAAATTCTTAGCCTTCCAATGAAACTCTCGATCGACGGGAGCATATAATTAAGGCGCATCCGTATTTCGTGCATTACGCATAAGCATACGCACGGAAATGCAATCTGCACAAAACCGTAGAGAAACGTTAGATGAGATTAAATGATCGTCAAATGAGGTAAAATACGTATGTCGTTACTTTCAGCTCGCTCTCTTCTATGCGATATTAAATTCTTTTCTTCTGATAAGGTGAATATCCTGTGATTAGTGACAAATAATCCCATCGTGAAGACAAATTAATAAATTATTTATTATTATTATGCACGTGTTAAATACATAAGATTTGTTTCGAAAATTGAAATATTTGGGATTTTAATTGTATTCGATTTTTCTCGAACTTCTTCGAAGTTATGTCACAATATTTTAATTAATTTGTAATATGTTCTCACAAGAGTGAGGAAAGTACCATTTAGTAATATGCAAGGTTGGGTGATTTAGTATATTTTTAATCAAGTTAATTAATTAGAAGTGCAAATTACAAAAACGAGAAAGATCAGCAACTGTGTAAAATTGGGCAAGTGTAATCCTTAGGTCTAACAAATCGATTAATCTCTGTATCGTTTCTCACGTGTAAAAGTGTGCATATTTTACAAAGAGAGTTACTATAATAGAAAAGCAGACGATCGCACTGACGACACTTTCGCAATACCGTCCTCTCCTCCCTTCCTTCTAATTGGTAAATTCAATCAGTCAGTACCGTCCCTCAACTCCCAGGAACCCCCCCGTATGAGTCGCTTGGCACGGTTATCCGATTCTAGCTTCAGCATCCCAACTATCTTCCCGCTCCCTCGCGCCGATATTTGCATTTCGCTTTTATGCCGCAGCCGCAGGTGAATCAGCATCACACACTAATTATCGAGGAGTTCGAGCCCGATGTCTTCCGCCAGTTGATCGAATACATCCACACGGGATGCGTGACGCTGCAGCCCAGGACTCTGCTCGGTACGTAACCGACGCATTTATTGCTGCATATTCATGCGCTCGTCAAATTTATTGGGATTTTTAAATGGCGTCGCTAAAGTCAGGAGAAGACAATCAGGCTTTACTAGAAAGAGACGGATATGTCTTCGTATTATCCACCCTTTCACTTCACTCGTACATCCACCCTCTTCTCAGCTATCGGCGGTTCATTCTATGTATCGATCGTAGAAATTAATTAACTAAAATGCATTTTGGTTTGAAAGTTTATGTATAAAGCGCGCAGTCGCAGGTCGCAAGAAACTGAAAGCTGCAGAATTTTTGCACAATCTACATGTATAAATACGCAGCGAGCATTCTGTCTGAGCCAGTAAAAGAATAGAATGTCATAATATTACGTCCCGATTGGCTGGATGCTTCGACACAGAGTGCAAAAGTTGAGGTTTGCTCAACTTCTGTGCATATTGAAACTTGCAGCCTAAAAAAAAGAGAAAAACGTCACGCTGCATCCAATCTTATGACCTGCGGTCTGCGTTTTATGCAGATGGACTTTTGAAAAAAAGAATTATGTCAAAAGTTATTTGACACAAAGATATTTATTGTTTGAGAAGCCAAACGAAAGACAAATCTGTTTCAATTAAAAGAACTTTATTAAATCCAACGAAATCTTTTCCTCTAGGAAATTTTGTTTCCTTCAACTAAAACGCGTTTGGTTTGTCCATTGTCAGATCCAAATAAATTTATCTTTCAGTGCGACGGACGTTTTTAAAAGTAATTCGTAATTGTTCGTAATTAACACGCAATTTGCGTTTGCAGGTGTGATGAACGCCGCTGATTACTACGGCCTGGACGAGCTCAGGCGAGCTTGCGCCGGCTTTGTTCAGTGCTGTATAACTGTCGACACTGTTTGCGCTCTGCTGGCCTCGGCGGAACGTTACATTCAGTATAAGTGCACGAAGTCGTTGGTGCAAAAGGTATGAGCGCAAGTACGATCACAAGTCGGAAGTCAACGTCCGAGATAATCGTCTGCTCATTCTCATATACAGTCCCTGGCCATATCATTAGACGCACCTTCATTGTTTACAATTCATTGACTTCCGAGGACCAGCTTTATAATACGGCTCATCTATCGATCGAATTATGTCGAAGAGCCATTATTCTATAAAAGGTATTTTTTTATAACGTCATTTCACTCGGCTATTACAATGACCTTGAAACAAGTATGAATCCGCGCTAGTTGCATCGTTGCGTAATAACGAGAACAGATGTGAGTTTTGACCACGTGTGTCAATTGAAATTTAATTTAATTTTTGTTTCTGTGACTTGAAACTTCAAATTTCTCGATTACTGGCAGAAAAAGAAATTTCGCGCATTATAATCGATATCATGTGACATCGTGCGACTTCGTTTCAGGTGTTGGAGTTCGTCGACGAGCATGGCAACGAGGTGCTAAACCTGGGCTCCTTCACGCTCCTGCCGCAGCACGTTGTCCGCCTGATCCTTGCCAGGGAGGAATTGCGCGCGGACGAATTCACAAAATTCCAAGTTAATTTCTTTCACATACCTGCGACTTGCGTCTCCACCTTCTGCGAATCTCTTTCTCGCTCAGTTCCCAATCGTCTCACGCAAACTTCTTGCTTTCAGGCCGCGCTGATGTGGAGCAAAAAGTATTGTGACAACAACCAGAATACACCGTTGAAAGACGTGATCGGCAACTTCATCGAGTACATACAGTTTCACAAGATACCGGCCACCGTGCTGATGCAAGAGGTGAACCCGCTGGGCCTGGTGCCGCCGGAGATTATCATGAACGCGTTAGCTTATCAGGTGCGCGTTGTGTTTTCCACGCACGCTCCTTAACAAGAACCCGATGATAAATTAATCTGTTATTACGCTCTTCTAAGAAATCCTGTTATATTTCTGCTGGCAAGCTGTCGAAAAAATTTACAGCAGATCCCCGATGGAAATATTTTGCTGAAGTACTCTCTCTCTTTCTTCCATTAGTATACGCGGTTTTCATTTTAATTCAGTAAATTTCGTGATATCTAATATTTTAACAATTTTTTTATTACTTTTCAGAATTATACTTTAATTTTCGTTATATCTCACCGCATTACATGGAATTTTATGATGAAAATTATGATTTATTTTGAAATATTTATTATATATTTCAGTAATTTTTCAATAATTTTCACATCACTGTTCATCAAGTTCACCAGTAATCGGATATAAGGAAAGTTCAAATATACTGTTGAAATTGATTAAATTTAGTTGAAAACTGCGTATATTAAAGGAATGATAATGAAATGAGGTCAATTGACAGAGAATCTCAGTAAAATTTTCAGCGATGATATTTCCAGCGGGGATACTATGTAAAATCTGTTTTTACCGATTGGGTTGTTGGCTGACTTTATATTGGTTATATTCAATATATCTGCCACCTCCCAATGAATGCCAATATATAACACTACAATACAATATTGGACCACTGTATCGCCAATGAATTGTACCGCTAGAAATGTTGATAGATGGAAAAATCTCGCTGCGATTCGGCGCGAGCACGCGGGCGGATTCTTTATGGGGGAATTTGTTGCAGGCAGACCCAACCAGTGTCGACCCCAGAAAGTTCTCCCCCCACAGAGTGAGGAGGCAAGGCCGCAGCATGTCGGTGCAGTCCTCGCTGGACCCGTACGGCAGCAACACGACTCTGAGCTCGAGCGGCTCCGACGGCGGATCTGATCAGAAGCAGCATTCTGGTAGCAACTAACCTCAGGCCACGGCCGCACAGATTGCGGCCGTTTCGGACGAGCCTCGACGCGAGGACCCTTGCGGCACCGACGAGGGAGCGGCGACGGTGACGGTGGCGGTGGTGGAGGTGACGGCGGTGATGGAGGACGCCGTCGAACGGGAGAAGGAACAGAGGGAGCGATCGCCGATGCTGCTGCGGCAGCTGGAGCAGCCGCAGAAGCAACAGCACGAGCAGGAGACTCAGGTCGAGCAGGATGAGCCGCCACAGCGACCGCAGGAGTCGCCGCAGCGTCGAAGGGACGTACAGCAGGAGACGCAGGTAGAACAGGAGCAAGAGCAGAAGCAGCAGCAAACGCAGACACAACAGGAGCCGAAGCGGGAGGAGCCGCAGCGGAAAGAGCCCGGCCACCTGCAGCAGCAGGTACGCCAGAAGATCGAGAAGGACCGGGAGCTGCAATTGCAGCGGAAGTTACAGCAGGAGCAGCAGCAATTGCAGCGTAAGCTGGAGCTGGAGGAGCAGCAGCTGCGACGCAAGTTCGAGCGGGAGGAGGGAGCGCTGCAGCGGAAGCTGGAGTGGGAGGAGCAGCAGTTGCAGCGGAAGCTGGAGAAGGAGGAGGTCGAGCTGCGGAGGAAGCTGGAGAAAGAACCGAAGGAGGAACCGAAGGAGTCGCGGCAGAAGCAAGCTAAAGAGGCGGAGAAGACGCGGCGGAGGAAGGACGAGCAGGCACCGCGAAGGCTACCGGAAGGAGGAGAGGGAGACGAGCAAGCGCAGCTGCGCGAGAAGAGGAAGGAAGGCAGAGAGACGCGACCCGTGGAAGAAGTGCGTGAAGAATCGCCCGCGGAGCAGCGACAGACGGAAACGGCAGCGAGGCGGCGGCAGGAGGAACAGAAGCCGCAGCGGCCGAAGGAGGAGCCGCGGCTCGCGGAACAGCAGCCGGCGGCTCGGCCGCTGGCCGCCGACGGACTCTACATCCGGCTGGTGCTCAGGCACGAGGCCCGCGCCGCTAATCTGGTCTGGCTATACAAAACGCATATATTCTAAATTCCGACTCGTTCGTGGCTCTCTTCGCCGTTCTCGTCAGTCTATCGGAAGGACCTCGTGGCGCGTCTGCGACTCGACGACTCGCCCGTCGTTCTCGTGGGAGAGGAAGAGGAAACACTCTCAATTCGAGTGTGCGTTGCTTTTACACACGAACGTCTTGAAAAATAACACATTTGGCTGAAGCTATTTTTTCCACGCGTCTTTTGCGCCGATTTAGTTTACGTCGTATTCAAAACGTTTCGTCGTGTTGAATTAACACGTTAAAGTACGACTCGTGTTAACACGTGCAATCGTATTAAATGACGTGACTTGAAACGGCAAGACGTGTGTAAGAAGAGCTTCAGCCAAAGGATCTGCAGTGTACCCGGGTTTGAGTGTTTTTCATTTATGCCCGTCTCCACCGTTTCATCAATTAAATCTGACCGACGATTAACTCAACGGGATCGATCACACGCACGGGGGAAACAAATTTTGTTAGAACGGCAAATTGTTTTTTAACACAGCGACAGCAGATTTGTTTGGACAGCAGAAAGATTAAGAATATTAATTGCTACTTACCGGATATACAGACGACAAAATAACTCGGCTGCACCAATTAAATTTTACTGTTGTCGCAACGACGTTTTGCTGCAACAGTAAAATTATCTTTTCCGTGTCAACAAATCTTTTTGCTGTCACGATAGTAACGAACAATTCGTTGCTTCAGCAAAAAATTCATCTCCGTACAATCGCACTAATCAATACAATCCGCTAATTGGCCGATGCGATTGGCCGATCCGTCGAGTTCGATCGTCGATAAGATTGAAACTGAAACGGTAGAAAGACGGACATTAGTGACGCAAATTAACACAAGCGTCATCTTATCTTTATTACCCACTAAATGCGGAACAGAGACAAAATGATGCTCGCATCGACTCACGTTATCAAACGAAAAGCACCCTCTCTCGATCGAGAACGTACGTCATCGTCGGGATGCGGCGACACCTCGGCAGCCGAGGTCATCTCTCGTCTTTCGGAGCGCGTTGGCGTTTACCTCGGCATCTTCCGTCGCCGACGCGCGAGTTAGGGGCGGACGCGTGCCGGAGAACCCGATTTCGGGTCTTCTCCCCCCTGCGACTTTCTCAATGATCTATCCGGGCGTCACCGTCCCGAGTCGCGCGTCGTCGCATTTGTAGATGTAAAAAAATCGTAAGAGTCAGGGGACTCCGTTTACTGTCTCTCGATTGTCCGTATCGTCGCTGAGCGCGAGCGTGTTAGTGTTGAAAGGCGAAAATATATATTTGTTAAACGTAAACGTGTTCGAAAATGTAAATGCATGTATCTGTGTGCATAAGAAGCGTGTAAGAGAAAAAGAGAGAGAGAGAGAGAGAGAGAGATGAATCGTAGCGGTGATGGTTGGACTGTATGATCGTGATTCGGATTTAGTTGCAAACGAGGAAGTAGCTTGATATGTTTGAAGACACGTGTTATTGTTTGCTCTCTCTCTCTCTCTCTCTCTCTTTCTCTCTCGTGACGCGATTTTCATAACCGCTCTACCGCTGCATTGAAAAAAAATGGCTATGTTCAAGTAAATATTTACTAAGGAGTGTCGTAGTAATTTATTTTATTTACTTAATCCAAATAAAACAATTTACTCCTGCAATACTCCTTAGTAAATATTTACTTGAAAATAGCAATTTTTCTTCTCAGCGTATCTCTTTCTCTCTTTCTTTCTCCCTTTATTTATTCATCGTTGTCTCTCCATCATTGTCGCCCCATCATCGTGCACGCATCCACGCTTCGTTTATTGTCGTCGGATAGATCTTTTTCAACTTCGCGTTATCGGCATTACCAGTCGAATTTATCACACCGGAACCACGTACAATGATCACAATCATGCTTGTTATGAAAGTTATGGATTCGAGACGGAGCATGAGGTTTCCATATTTATTTCCGGTCAACGGTACGACGATTCGATAGTAATAAGTGACTCGCGGGGACATTCGCGTCACCGCTTCTTCCTTTTTTTTCTCGGGCATCGTGACTCGCCTAGAGATAGAGATAGCGAGCGAGAAAGAGAGAGAAAGAGAGAGAAGAGGTGTTTCATTTCGCCGTGATCGCGCGAGCGATCCGAAAGCACCGCGGCACGTAGTGAAGCTACACGCGCTCCGGATGGCGCAGGAGGTCCGGAAACACACTCGCTAGACGAATTCGCCTCTCCTCGTCACGAGCCGAGAGGACACGCGCCGAAAACTGGTTGTCACTTTAGGTAGAGACGTAATCGACACACGCGGCCGCCACGGTAGGTTGCACGCTGTAACAACATTTAAACGTCCTCCGCGATCTGTTCTTACATATCCGGTATTAGGGGCGGAGTTGCCGCTTCTGATACACTCGCAGCACTCGAAACTTTCTTGCCCGAGTTCTAGCAAGAGGAAACATAGAACATTTCTTCTCGACGGGAGAGAGCACCACCTTTTCGCAGTTTCCGTTGAGCGACGAGAATATTTCTACGCAGTCCGTTAAAAATTATAATCGTAAAAATTTAACACGACAAAACTATTGTTGCAAGAATGATTTTCCTTTAATTTTGTCGTATGTGTTTGCCATTAACAAAGTAAACAATGTACTAACACGATACTTCTTACGAAACGAATAACATTGGTAAACAGATAATTTAATTATTTGATAACAATAATTTAATTATCCCCTCACGCGCTGCGGCATGCTGTGAGTGTATCGAAAGTGGCAGCTCCCGATTAGAGACTGTAGGGAGCACGTTTAATTTATAGGCACGGCTTAAAAGCGCGAGTAGATCAAAACACGGAGCGCGCCACGGTTGCAGCGATTAGACGCAAAAACGACGCGCGAGGGATAGGATATCGCGAGCGAGCGCAGCTATTATGTCACCGCCAAGACGATGTCTCATTGTACTGTCGCATGTGCAGCTTGATCGCAGGTAGGTGTCAAGGATACGTTCGTGAATGTTGGACCCGTCTCTCTTTACCTTATCCGTGCACCGTCTTCCGCGCACCTATGCGGTGTGCGTGCGCGCGCGCACAGGGTGAGATATATTTCTATTATTTTATACGTGAAGTGTGTGTATGTAAAAAAAAAATATATATATATATATATATGTATATACAAATACAGAGGCATCGAGAACGCGCCTGAGAACGGCGCAAGCTCCTCGTTAAAACGTTCGCATCGACGACTAACGATCGGTCGAGCAGCTGAATGTGCAGTACATGTATATGTGTGAATGTGCGACGGCGCGAGGTGTCGCGTGCGCGGAACAAATTATTTTCCCGCTCGCGTTCACGGCGCGACTTCAATCAAAAAGAGAAAGAAGAGAAAAAGAAAGAAAAAAAGCGGAAAGAAAGATTATATTCGTAGTCAACCGACGCGCAGGCGCGTCCGATTATTATTACACAAAATTCGACCTTTTTCGCGACGCGAGCGCGAATAGTCATTGCCATTGTGTATTTTTACCTGCCGAACACGAATCCGTTGTCCAAATTTCGCTATCATGTCAGGATTTTGAGAACAAAAAGAATAAGATAAAAAGATAAGATACTCGCACTTGGATTTAGGATAACCAGGTTCAACGACGTGAATGTGGCGCTGATCTGATCCCATGTGTGTGTGTATATATGTGTGTGTGTATCTTCTTATCTCTATCTTATCTTATTATCTTATGTTTTTTTTTCTCAAAATTGTGACGTGATAGCGAAATTTGGACAACGGATCCGTACATTCAGCAGGCAAAAGTACATCGGAAACGACTAATCACACCCGTGCAAAGAACATTGTTCTGCCCAGTGATTAACGTTGACGACTGTTTTTGATTAGCCATATCTCGAAAAAAAGAAATCGCACGAAGACGAAGTGAAATGCATTTTAAAGTTGACACTTTAACGTGGCATTAACAATGTTTAGAAAAAAAATGTACTGCCTATGCTACAACGTCACGAGAACTCTCAAAATCGTCGTTTCTGAGTCACTTTGATACCATTTCTCTCAAAATTGTGACGTGACAGCGAAATTTGGACAAGAGATTCGGATGTTCAACAAATAAAGGTACATCAGAAATGACTATTCTCACTCGTGTCGTAAAATCAGTGAAATGTTATTAATTTGCGTTTGTACCACCGACACACGATCCATCTCCCGAGCGCCCAAAATTTTATACAATGTGTCTAGACTATTCCACATCGATCCACTCGCTGAGATCATTTTTTTAAATACGATACGACGATATCCATGATATGTCTTTGCGCGGAAGATGTCTCTGGCGGCAATAAAATGTCTAATTAGCGATAGTAAACGTGTCGATTCAATGACTTCTACGAGCGGTTCGCCTCTTTTTCTCTCGCACAATCGCGTGATCTGTAACGTGTTGTATGACGCAACCCCGATTTTCGAATTTTCGGTTCACGCATCGAGAGAGATTCTAACAGTGTACACACTTCACTCCCATTTCTCGAGACACGTCACGTTAGGGATGTTGTGATACTACTGATATCGATATTATTAATATTGATATCGATATTTTTCTTTCAATACCAGGTACTTGTGTGCCGATATTTTCTTTCGACATTTGTACCCACACTGATACTTTGTTTCGACATCTTTCTTTTATTAATTTTTCATTCAAGCGATTTTCAAAATATCATGTATTTTTGCTTCGTGAAAATTAATGCAACATACAACTTATGTTTTAAACCTATCTTTTCTCATGATTTCTATTACGTTAATTTTACGATTATTTATCAATTGCTAGGGTAAAAGAAACTCGTTCAGACAAAAAATATGCGGAATTGATCACGAGTGTCATTTTATGCGTACATTGTTTTATTTCCGCGTGTACCGCAATAATTTTTGGCATATGATTTCTCGTTTCTGACGTCATCAAACAACCCTTACGAAAAATTATTACCGGCTGTGATAAATTATTATTGCTCAATAGTTTTATTATTCATAGGAAATAAAATTATTGAATAACAATTTAAGCAATTATTGAGTAACAATTTATTACCGATCAATTTATCACAATCAGTAATCCTTTTTCGAAAGGTAAGGCAATTACAGCGAGGACACGATAGCCTTAACACGTCCTTTTTAAGATTTTCAAATCGCAGAAGAAAAAGAAATCTGGTGCAGAAGGTAGAATTATCTTTATATTATAGTAAAAATATTATGTGTAGACATACGAAATCCTCAAAAGCAGCTTTCAAAAGACCTAATCCTTCTCTGATTTTTATATTTCTCCTAATTTTTAGTATTTTTAAGCTTCGATACCAGTATCAGTATCGATACTTTGTTCTTACGTTGATACTGATATCATATAATGATATCGATAATTTTAATCGCATACCCCTTTCAACATTAATATCGATACTTTCATGATATCACAACATCCTCGTATCGTACATACGATCCCTTCCTCTTCTCCACAGAAGAATACAGATAGAACACAAATAGAAATAACAAAGCAAAAAACAAAGAATCTTTTATGCCGTTGTACCGTTCGTACCGTTGTTATAGCTCGCTGGCGATCGGTGTAATTCTACTTAAAAAGTTCGATCTATCTACTGCTGTGATATACTGTAGCCGAGAAACAGTCTGGATACAAATAAAGAAAGTCGTGGTCTCGGAGGAATTCTTCACTGATCTGCAATCACGATCTCTGACAAAAAAAAGAAAAAAAAAAAGAGAAGACACGTCCGCGGACCGTTGTCCGAGCGAGAGAGGGAAAAGAGCAGGACGACGGATTCTCTCTCTCTCTCTCTCTCTCTCTTTCCCTCATCATGGAGAGTTCGCGTAAGTCAGATGCCGGTGCCGAGCACCGTCGTTGTGTTCCGAAGGCTGATATCCGCGTTGTTTTTTGCGCGGACGTAAATCTCAGCCGAGCGACGTACCTCGCTCAACACCTGGATTACGCCGCTCGACTACGGCTGCGCTATGTGTAATCTGGCGCAGTAAATGCGCACGCAAATGCTACCGGCCACGGGCGGCGTGATAAATCGCGGACAACTCATCCCGAATAAATAACGCGCGAGAGAGAGGCGTTTACACGAAAAGAGATCGATGAATATCATCGTGACACTTCGCGCCCGTACCTCCGCCGACCTTGTTCCCTACCCGATCGAGTCAAGTCGACTTAACTCGTTACGAGCGTCAGGTGGCAGGCGCATCGCGCGAATAATTATGCTCCCCTCCTCCCCCCTCCCCCCTCATCGACCCCAGTATCCGCGGCGTTTATGACGTAAGATATCGCGAGATTTAGTCCGTTCCGATCTATCAATCGTGCCATCTGCCATCGGGGGTACCCCTCGTCGTGGTTAACGGCCTTTTAAAAAGGCCGCCGCTATCGTCACTACCGTCGCCGCTCGTCGCCGAAATAGTAATCGAGCGCTGCGAGGAAGAAGGATCGGGCGAAATTGTTGTAATATAGTCGAACAGACAGGTCCGGAGGAGGAATGTAGGATCAGTTAACACATGCGCGACACGTTTATATAAAGGCGCGTGTACAGGCGCTGGTAAACGAACAACGACCGAACAGCAAACATACAATGTATTCACACGCACAAATTTCCTTTGAAACTATCTGACAAGCCACTTTGTGAGCAAATCGGCCCGAAATGTTCAGTTCGTATTTGTTCGGCGACATACGTTTTCCTAAATATAAGCAACGATAGTTTGGGTTCGCCGTTTGTTCGTTCACTAGGTGTGTGCGCGCCTTAAGATGCTCGATTTGCCTATTTGATACTTGAAGTACAGAAAGAAATGCTAGATTCGAATAAATAATTACTTCAACAGTCCTTAGCAAGTTTTTACTTGGATCAAGTAAATTTTATTTGGATCAGATAAATATTTTACTTGGACAATTTATTTGGATCAAATAAGTATGATGAAGATAAACTCGAGTTAGTCTTTGATATCAGATCCGATTATTATTAATATGAGTCTTTCAAACTCCGACAATATTTTGTCTTTATATATTATATAATATATATTATATAAAGACAAAATATGGAACGAAAATCAGGGAAAGTGTGTAAAAAATATTATTTATGTCTCACTATATAGATCACACCACGATTTTCTATATATAGGTCATTTTCGACATATACGTCAACTTCAGCGACTGATGGGATTTTTTTCATCTCACTTTGAAGTTTGTGTGAATGTTGTGTGCGATAACCTTTGCCCCTACGAATTAAGAATTATATTTTTTATTATCGTAGCATAGTGCGCAGTGTATAAATACCGTGATCGCGATATTGACGACAGTTCACAGCTAGAAGAGCGTGAAGTATTTTCCTGCCTAAATCAATTGCCACGCCCAAAGAAGCGAATCCCGAATCGAAACATGAAGCGAACGCTCTTGCTTTTCTTCACGCTCGTCGTTGCCGTAAGTGTAAGTATAACACGTAAATATAAACAGAGGGTAAATGAAATAAAAATCCTTTTACATCTATCGCAGAATTAACCCTAATTAAATTCAACGTTTGTCGCATCAGTGGTCACCAAAATTTGTTCAACTCTTATAACGATAACGCCAATCGGAAGCATTAGTGTATAAATATTGTACGCTCGGTACCGCAGATGCCTTAACATTCAATAGATCCACATTTACTAAAGTAATCTGCAAGTACATGACAGCTGTTTTATCTAACGGCAGGTTCAAGGTTCGAGGTTCAAGGTTCAAGATACTGATATCTGTCGCTAAATGCAATAGCTGTTATTTACTCGTAGATTAGACCGCTCTAAGCAGAAAAGATCTTTACCATTTTGCAAATAATATGCAAATTTTTTAGTTGGTTTAAGAAGCCTTAATATATGGCCATTTTCGATCATTAATAATTCGAAATGTTGCATGTTGTTTGCAAAATTGTAGAAGACTTTACTATTCACCTCAATCCGTTCTATGCCTTCACAAAATTTGTCCCCGTGGTTTTGAGACATTCTGCATAAAAATGAAATAGAGATCGATGTTATAGATGGGATAAGTTCTGGGGTGTAAAATTCGTTATTATGTGGCCACATACATTAAAAGCCCGCAATTATATCAGTATATGTTAATCCGCCAGAATATAATTACATAATTTCACTCTTATTAAGGTATTAATATTAAGCGGTTGACAATTGCGATCGACTTTTGTTAGCCATATTCTATTTTCGTGTGAATGTTATTAATAGCAAAACGCGATGTTAATAAAAATTATTAGTAAAAAAAATATATTAAAAGTGCACTGCAAATCTTCCTGGAAGAAATTCCCAATATCCTTCAAACCTCTGTCAATTTTCCATCTATCCTATAAGAAAACTTATTATTCGCTGTAAAACATGCTTCTTCGTCAAAATTCTATATTGAATTGTCTCCTCCTACTACAGAGATTTTGTCCATTATCTTGTTGTCCATTACAGACAATGAACGTTCCAGTACAAATGGTGAGAAATATTGCGTATGGTACAAACATGACGACGGAGGAAGTGCAGGCTTGTATCAACAACGCAGGCCTAATGTTCGGTAAGGTCTCATTTGCGCGTGAATTTTATTATTTCGGGCATTTCGAATGATACTACTTTACTGACAACCTAATCGTTTCTATATTTTCTAGAGAATTTACAGTTCTATGAACAACTTGAAGACTCAGATGACTTACAAAGCCTAGATATCGACGGCAACGGTGAAAAAATCGGCTGCTTTGTCAACTGTTTACTCCGGAAGAAAGAAATGGTAAGAATCAACAATGATGAATATTTTATCAAATATACATATACACGCATGCATGCATGCACACATGTACGCACGCATATATACAGGTTGTCCCCAAATACACGCAAGAAGTAATTTTGATAGAAAACACAGGTTTATTATTAAAAATTGTAAATTTTTTATTGATTCATAAAGTATACAGTATAGGGTTATGTATGGAATAGCATATCGGGTAAATGGCCTCCACGGCTTTGCTGGCACGCACTCTTTTGTTGAAATTTTCCATGATCGTTTTGCATAAATGTGGCTGAATTTCGTTGATACAGCGCTCAATTTCCTCCTTCAAGGCGTGGGTGGTCGTGGGCTTGTTGGTATAAACCTAAGACTTCAAAAAATCCCAAAGAAGAAAGTCCAACGGCGTTAAATCGCATGATCTGGGCAGCTAATTCTGATCACCAAAACGGAAAAGGAAATGACTCATGCAGTAATTGAATTGTTTCTCGGGCTGTATGGCATGTGGCACCGTCTTGTTGAAACAACATGTCGTTCACATCCATATCTTGCAATTTAGGCACAAAAACTGGATAATCATGTCGCGATAGTGAGTACCATTAACTGTTATTGCCTGACCAGCCACATTTTCGAAAAAGAATGGTCCGATGATGCCTCCAGCCCAAAATCCGCACCAAACAGTGACACGTTGTGGATGCAAGATCACTAATGATCCAGTCTCCCTAAATTTTTTAATTAATCTTTTCATAGTTGATGAAATTAAATCACTATTCCGACCATATTTTGTGCGAAAATTGCGAACTGTAGCTGCCAAACCTTCATTATTTTTAAAATATTGCTCAACAATGAAAACGCGTTATTCTTTCGTGTAGCGCTCAATTTTTAATAACCCTGAACTGTCAGCTGTCACGCTGTCTTCTTTTTTCGTTCAATACTTTACCGCACAAATGGCGCAAAATTCAAATCTTGCGTGAATTTTGGGACACCCTATATATACTCACAAAGAAAATATTCTGTTTATATCTTATTAGACAACTGGTCTTTGGTCGACGTGAATGAGTTTTGATTCTTGTTTTAAGTTAACATTTAAGTTTAATTTGAAAGCTATTGATTATAATTTAAGTTATATAAATTAACATCATTTAATACTAATAATTACATGATATATATGATTTATATTTTATATTTATCTGTATGTTTTTATTCTCTACACATCAATAATATCACCTTCAAACGTCAATTCCAGGTAACGGGTACGCAAATAGATGTGGAAAAGGTTAAAAAAATGGTGCACTCCCCGTTAATTGATGATAGCGTAATACATATAGCACACCCATCCATGGACACATGCGCCGATCACCGTAAATATTATGAACACATATAAAATATCGCTAAAATAACTAGTCATTCGTTGATTCTTGGAATCTGTTATTATGCATAATATGTTGATGACCAAATTAGTTGAACGCGATTGACTAGAATTATATACTGTACCTTCCCATTTTTACATTTCAGTTAAAAGTCATAACGAGTGCGAAGCAACCATCAAATTCTTAGTCTGTTTCATGGATGAAATGCGACGCCGTAGAACACAAGAAACCAATACTGAATCCTGTGTCCCTAATGATATTGATATAGTTGATTAGATATCCGTTCAATAATAATAATAATAAATAAAGAATAAGAATTAAGCACCATATATTATTATATGTTAAAAACATCTCAACTCTAACATACATACCATGAGTCTTTCAAACTCCAACAATATTACGATTACATAAAGGCAAAGTAGCAGGGAACGGAAGTCAGGAAAATATGTAAAAAAATATTTATGTCTTCCTCTATAGATCATTGATTTAAGACAGGAAATGACACAAACCAACAGTTTTTGGAAGTATTAGTTACGTTGCGTTCATAGATTTATTCATTACATTTTTATTCATACCCTATCTAATTATTCGTAATTGAATCGTAAGTCATTTGTAGAATTTCAGTTTCTCTACTTCAGAAAAACTTTTCCTCTTTCAGAATAAATTTTGAATAAATAATATTCCTATAAAACACTTATATAAGAAAATATTTGTGAAAGAGATAACATACTTATGTAATACAAAGAAGAAGAAATAAAAAACTGATAAAAATTTTCTTGTAATTCATTTCTTGTATACCGGGGATCATTTTGTTTAGGCAAAAGTACGAAGACAACAGTTTCGGTAATTAATAACAAATCAAATGTTTACGCATTCCAAACATATTAATTCCGTTCCTGTCTATCAGTAACTTCGATAAAATATAAACACTTCGGCGACTGACAGAATTCTCTTTATGTTGCGTTGGAATTTTTTGTTTGATGTTGATCGCAATAACCTTCGCTCCTACGAACTATAACCAAGTATTATATTTTATCGAAGCATTATATAAATACCGTATACAGCAATATCAACGACAGTTCATAGTTGGAAGAGTGTGAAGTATTTTCTCGTCAGAATCAATTTACGGATAAGGAAGCAAATTCTGAATTGAAACATGAAACGAACATTCTTATTTTTCTTCACGCTCATGGTAAGTGTCTATGTAACACATAAATATAAGCGAAGCGCGAATGAAATTAAGGTCCTTCATCATCAATCGCAGAATTAATCCAAAATAGATTCAACGTTTGTCGTATTAACCCTTTGAGTACTGAATTATTTGAAGATTTCTATGCCCATGGGACGGATTTAATTTGTCGCTATATAGATTAATATGTAAAAGTAATACATTTTATGCCCAAGTAAGCAGATGACGAGTCTCACTCGTCAAATGTACCCAAAGGGTTAATGATCGCGAAAATTTGTTCAACTCTTACAAGTATTACGCCAATGAGAAGCGTCAGATATAAAGATTCTACGTTCGGTATCGCAGTCATCACAGATGTTTTAGCATTCAACAGATTCATATTTACCAAAATTTGTTGACCGCATTTGTTTCAAACCAAATTCTAGATTGCAAAATGTATTTAATCTGACCTCATATCATATTCACAATAGTCAAAACATGAGGACAAAATACAAATGTGTGCTCAGATTTCGTTCGTGATGTCAAGAAAATATATATCATTTATCATACTCATCTCAAGAACGTACACACGTTATTTGTAAATATTTTGTGCTTATGTAATGTTAATCACGTAATGATGTTTAAAAAATATATTAAGTTACAATCATAGTATGACAACACATTGTGATAAAACGCGACCATCATTACTATCTGGGAAGTTGTTTTGCGATATTGTGGAAAGTTAACTATAATTCTTATGATCGTTAATTAATTGAGAGAGTGGGAACGTCTTTTAAGCGGAACATTTTGATAAGTGGCTTAATCAGCAAGTACATGACAGTTGTTGTAACTAACGACAAGTTTAAAGTCAAAGTTCAAGGTTAATATTGATATCTGTCGCTAAGTGCAATAGCTGTTATCTACTTGTAGATTAGACCGTTCTAAGCAAAAAAGACCATTTTGCAAATAATACGCAAATTTTTTAGTTAGCTTAAGTAACCTAATATATGGCCATTTTCAATCATTAATAATTCGAAATGTAGCATGTTGTTTGCAACATTGTAGAAGACTACTATTCACCTCAATCCGTTCTACACCAACACGAAACTTCTCCCCATGGTTCTGGGACACCTTGTATAAAAATAAAATTAAGAAAAACATTATAGATAAGATGAATTCTGACGTGTAAAATTTATTATTATTTGGTCACGTACGTCGATAGACAGCAATTATATTAGTACGTGTTAATCCGTCAGAATACAATTACATCCTCTCACTCTCATTAGAGTATTAAATGTTCCGATTAGTTTTGAGGGCTCACTGTAAATGGCTATGGCTACAAATCTATTAGAGACATTTTGAAAGTTGGTACATCATTTCAAAGCTTGGACATTTCCACAAATCATTTGACACAGGTCTTGTGTATTCGGAAACATAACCGTACTATATAGTGTGATTGAAAATGGAACGTGACAAGGAGCATTTTTGTCATCTATTACTTTATTACTATGATTCGAAGAAACCTGCTGCGAAGCTCACCTATTTATCTCAGAAACTTCTTTTGAGTCTGCTCCATTAGTTAAAACGTGTGAGTACTGGTATCGACGATTTAAAAGTGGTGATTTCAATTTGAAAGACAAAGACAAAGAAGGTCCAAGTCAACCGAAAAAGTTCGAAGATCCCGAATTGCAGGCATTGTTGCACGAAAACTCAGCTTAAACGCTTGAAGAATTAGCTAAAGTATTAAATGTTGGTAAATCAACCGTTTCTGATCGTTTACACGCATTGGGAAAAATTCAAAAGAAGGTAAATGGGTTCCACACGAATTGTCTGAATTGATTATTCAAAATTGTTTAACCATTTGCACCTCGTTGCTTTCTTGTCATAAAAAGAAGCAGTTTTTGTCATCATCAAATTATAACCAGAAATCAAAAATGGATATATTATAATAATCCTAAGCGTAAAAAATTGTGGGTAAATTCAGGACAACCATCGATACCGACTCCAAAACGCATATTCCCGGAAGTAAGGTTTCGTTATGCATTGGCTGGACATGAAAGGCCTCGTGTATTTTGAGCTGCTTGAACCGAATCAAACAATCATTGCTGAGCTTTATCAACAACAATTAATCGATTTCAATCGTGCTTTGAACCAGAAACTTCCAATAACAGGCTAAAAAAGACGCGAAGTATTTTTGTTGCACGAGAATGCTCGACCACACGTTGAAAAGCAGTTAAAGATACGTTATCGGCATTTCATTGGGGAGTCTTACCACATGCCGCATATTCGCCAGAGTGTGCTCCTTCAGATTATTACTTATTTCGATCGATGCAGCACAGCTTTGCTGACCTGCACTTCGAAACATATGATGAAGTACAAAAATGTCTCAATGAATGGATTACTTTGAAAGACGAACATTTCTTTTACCGCGGAAATTCATCTATTGCCAGAAAAATTGGAAAAATGGGAAAAAGTTCTAGCAAGTGGAAAATATTTTGAACAAAATGTATTTTAACGTCTTTTTAAAATAAACGAGTTTTTTGTAAAAAATCTCTCAAACCTGACCAGAACACCTAATAATATTATTGCGCTTGACAACTGCGATCGACTCTTGTTAGCCATATTCTATTATCGTATAATTGTTGTTAAAAGCAAAACGCGATGACAATAATAATTATTAGCGAAAGAGTATATTCAAAATCCACCACAAATCTTCCTCAAAGGCATTCCTCATTTCCTTCAAGCCTTTGTCGATTCTCTATCTATCCTATAAGAAATCTGGTTATTCACCGTATAACATACTTTTTTGTCAAAATTCATTATTGATCTGTCTCCTACAACTGTCCTACAAAGATTTTGATTCTTGTCTTTCTTTATAGACAATGTCTCGACAATACCCCACGGAAGAGGACGCATTCGTGAACAGTATTGCATTTAATATGCAATTGACGACGGAGGAAGTGCAGGAATGCTTCAACAAGACAAGCATCACGCCCAGTAAGCTCTTATTTGCGGATGAATTTTATTATTTCCAGTAATTCGAATGACACAGCTTTATTAACAATTTAATCGATTCTATATTTTCTAGAGGATATAATGCACGTTGACCGAATTATAGAAGACGACTTACATACTATAGATTCCGACGACAGGGCTTTAAAAATGGGTTGCTTTACCAACTGTTTATTCCGGAAGAAAGAAATGGTAAGAATCAATTACGATGAATAATTTTTCAAATACACTGGCCAAATACACATATACACATGTGCGAGCACGCACACACGTACACGCACAAAAAAAATATTCTATTCATATCTTATTGAGCAACTAGTTTTTAATCGATGTGGGTTAGTTTTGATCTTTGTCCTAAGTTAACATTTAAGATCAATTTGAAAGCTATGGATTATAATTTAATTTATATAAATTAACATCATTTAATATCAATAATTACATGATACACACGATTTATACTTTATATCGGCAAATTTTTATTTTTTATACACCTTTCATCACATTCATACATCAATTCTAGGTGACGGGTACGCAAATAAATTTTGAAAAGGTTAAAGAAATGCGCACTAAGGTAACTGATCCTGACAAAGTACACAGAGTGCACCAAACAATTGACACATGTGCCGATCAGGGTAAATATTACGAACATATATAAAATATCGCAAAAAAAAGCTAAGGTCATTTGTTGATTATTGGAATCTGTTGTTATGCATAATATGCTGATGACTAAATTAGTTGAACACGATTGACTATAATTATAAACTGTACCTTCACTTTTTTATATTTCAGTTAAAAGCATTACCAACGAATGTGAAGTAGGCCTCAAGTTCGTAGTATGTTACAATGTTGAAATACGACGTTTAAAGTAACAATAATAGTAATGAAAAAAAAATAAGAGTTAAACACTGTATATTATTATATGTGAAGAACTTCCCAACTATAAGACACATACCATGAATCTTTCAAACTCCAACAATATTCCGATTACATAAAAACAAAGTAGGGAACGGAAGTCAGGAAAAATTGTGTGAAAAATATTTATGTCTCTCTGTATAGGCCACTGACCTGAGAAAGAAAAGGATAAAGACCAACAGTTGTTGAAAATACTAATTATTATTATTATACTAATTATATGCTTTAATAGTTTTATTCATTATATTTTTATACATATACACTATCTAATTATTCGTAATTGAATCGTAAGTGATTCGTAGAATTTTAGTTTCTATACTTTGGCAAAACTTTTTCATTTTCAGTGAACAGATTTTGAATACATAATATTCCTACAAAACACTTATATAACAAAATATTTGTGAAAGAGATAACATACTTATGTAATACAAAAAAGAAGAAATAAAAAAGTGAGAGAAATTTACTTGTAATTCATTTCTTGTTTTCCGGGGATCATTTTGTTTGTTTGTTGTTTAGGTAAAAGTACGAAGACGACAGTTTGGGTGATTAATAAGAAATCAAACGTTTACGGATTCCAATTATATTAATTCCGTTCCTATCCATCAGTGTGTTTGCGAAAATATAAACAAGTCGGACTTCGAATAATGACTGATAAAATTCTCTTTACGTCATTTTGGAATTTTTACTGATATTGCACGCGATAACCTTCGCTCCTGTGGACTATAACTATGATATTTTATCGTAGCACAGTGCACAGTGTATAAATACTATATATCGCGATATCGACGACAGTCCGTAGCTGGAAGAGTGTGAAAGACTTTACCGTCAGTGTCAATTTTCGCGGACAAAGAAACTGAATTCCGAATCGAAATATGAAGCGAACGCTCTTGTTTTTCTTCACACTCGTCGTCGCCGTAAGTATCTATATAACTATGTATCTATGTAACGTAAATGTGAGCAAAGCCCATATGAAATGAGACCCTCTATATCCATCGCAGAATTAATCCTAAACCGATCCAACGTTTGTCGCGAATCAATGATCACGAAAATTTTTTTAACTGCAATTTTTTTAAGTACAATGCCAATCAGAAGTGTCAATAATATAAAGATTATATGCTGGGTATCGCAGTCATCGCAAATGCTTTAACATTCAATAGATCCATATTTACCAAAAATTGCCGACTGCATTTGTTTCGAACCATAACCCAAATAGCAAAATGTACAGTTGTATATTCTCACACTCCCATTAAAGTATTAATATTATTGCACTTGGCAACTGCGATCGACTCATGTTAGTCATATTTTATTTACATGCAATTGTTGTTAATAACAGAACGCGATGACAATAATATCGTGTTGTTAATAACATAACGCGATGATAATAAAATCATTAGCGGAAAAATGGATTAAAAGTCCACCACCAATCTTCATCAAAGAAATTCCTTATTTCCTTCAAGCCTCCGTTGATTCTCTATCTATCCTATAAAAAACTAATTATTTACCGTGAAACATACTTCTTCGTCGAAATTCCTTGTTGAACCATCTTCTCCGACTATCTTATAAAGATTTTTATTCTTATTGTACATTATAGACAATGGGCGTGGACATATTTTTTGTGGAAAAAGTTGCGAGTCTTATAAACTTGACGACGGAAGAAGTGCAGGAATGCATCAACAAGACAAGCGTAACTCCCGGTAAGCTCTCATTTGCGCGTAAATTTTATTATTTCGGGCAATTAATATGATGCTATTTTAATGACAATCTAATCGATTCTATATTTTCTAGAGGATATAGCGGACTTTGGCCAAATTATAGTAGACAACTTACATACAGATTCCGACGACAAGGTTTTAAAAATCGAATGCTTTTTTAACTGTTTACGCCGGAAAAAAGAAATGGTAAGAATCAACCACGATAAGTAATTTATCAAATATGCTGATCAAATATTCATACATATACACAGAAAAGAAAATATTTTATTTATATCTTATTGGACAACTGATCTTTGATCGACATGAATTGGTTTTGATCTTTGTTTTAAGTTAACATTTAAGTTTAATTTAAAAGCTATTGATTATAATTTATGTTATATAAATTAACATAATTTAATGCCAATAATTACGTCACATACATGATTTATATTTTATATCCGTATATTTTTATTCTCTGCACATCTATATCATCTCCTTCATATATCAATTCCAGGTGACAGGAAAGCCATTGGATTTGGAAAAGGCTAAAGAAATGGTTCGCATTTAATTGGTCCTGACAAAGTACGCATGGCACACCAATCAATGGACACATGCGATGATCGGAGTAAATATTATGAACACATATAAAATATCGCTAAAAAATCTAAGGTCATTCGTTGATTCTTGGAATCTGTTATTATGCATAATATGCTGATGACCAAATTAGTTGAACGCGATTGAATATAATTATAAACCGTACCTTCCCATTTTTATGTTTCAGTTAAGAGCATTACCAACGACTGTGAAATGAGTCTCAAATTCATGATCTGTTACGTGAATGAAATGAAACGCCGTTTAAAACAACAACAATAATAATGAATAAAGAATAAGAATTGAGCGCTATATATTATTATATGTGAAGAACTTCTCAACTCTAAAATACATAGAGTTTTTTAAACTCCAACAATGTTACGATTACATAAAGGTAAGAGAAACGGAAGTCAAGGAAAGTATGTAAAAAATGTTTATGTCTCCTTATATAGATTACTGACCTGAGACAGGAAAGGACACAAACCAACAGTTTTTGAAAGTACTAGTCGCCTACGCCTTAATGAAGTTTTCATTTATTACATTTTTATTCATATACACTATCTAATTATTCGTAATTGAATCGTAAGTTATTCGTAGAATTTCAAATTCTTTAATTACGGAAAAACTTTTTCTCTTCCAGTAAACAGATTTTAAGTACATAATATTGCTGTAAAACGTTTATACAACCAAATATTTGTAAAGGAACAAACTTACCTATGTAACACAAAGAAAAAGAAATAAAAAACCGATAGACATTTTCGAATAATTCACTTCTTTTATTCCGGGGATCACTTAATTTAAGCAAAAGTACGAAAACGATAGTTCCGGTGATTAATAAAAAATCAAACTTTCACGCATTCCAATTTTTTATTTCCGTTCCTTTCTATCAGTGACTTCGTGAAAATATAAACATGTCGAACTTCAGCGAATGATGACTAATGAAATTCTCTTTACCTCGCTTGAGAATTTGTGCTGAAGTTGCGCGCGATAACCTTCATTCCTACGATCAATAATAAAATATTACATTTTATCGTATATAAAATATGCACAATGTTTCCAAGTAACAAGTAACAAAATATTCAATCTGATGAAAATATTTAATCTCATATCGTATTCGCAACAGTCAAAATGTGAGGACAAGATTTCGTTTCGTCAAAATTCCTTGATGAACCGTCCCCTCGATTGTCTTACAAAGATTTTGATTTTTCTTATCGATTACAGGCAATGAGCATACATGTAGATATCGTGGGAAGAATGGTTGATGCAAACATGACGACGGAGGACGTAGAGACATGCATCAACAATTCAAATGTAACGCTTGGTAAGCTCTCATTTGCACATGAAACTTATTATTTCGAGCAATTCGAATAATACCACTTTATTGACAATCTAATTATATGTATATATATATTATACGTTTACCAAATATTTGATCAAATATTTTAACTTGAACGTCCTTAAGGATGTTATATTGTCATAATTAAAATTACTTATACGATTTAGGGAATGATATGGCACCCACGGATACAGCATCACTGAATGGAAAAGAAACACAGGAAAGACAATTGATATATAACGGACATAAATGTTTTGCCATTTCCAAATGAAAAAATTATTTGTTTCATTTTACACACTTGTCGTAACCAAATAATATATTATGTGATTAAAAGATATTATTTCAAATAATAATTTTTTCCGTTAAATAATCGAGCTTTCTTGAATGAAAAGACAAAATTTTTTTCAAATCAAATAATATTTCATATATGCTGTTTTACTAAAACAAATTCCAGTCAAATAAATAGGAATACTAAATCTAAAGAAACTTTTTCTCTGTGTACACATGTCTATTTTTAATAATAAATAACTAGAAATTTTATATTTTAAATAAAAGAGGACGTTTTTGTTCATTTAAATCCGTTCTACGCCTTTACGGTTTGTCTGGTTGGTCTGGGACACCCTGTATAAGCAGGAATATATAATCTTATATAAAGATAAAATTTGCTTTTATATGCATGAAGAAATTCTACATAGTTCCAGTAAAAATATAACATAATCTTGTTATTCATGAATAATTTTTATGAGTTGTAAGGAAGAAATATCGGATTAAAAGAACGATATCTTTAAACTGAGAATTACATCAGTATCATGATATCGTTCTTTCTATCTAATACTTCTTCCTCTTAATTTATGAAAATTATTCTTAAATAATATGAATATATTTATAATGGAACTATATAAAATGTCTTCATGTGAATGTAAGTTTTTCTTCATATAAGATTACGTATTCTTTCTTATATATGAGAATACGAGTCTTAAATTCATAATGATTCTTTTTTTGCGTGTATTTTTCCCGCGAGAATCGAATTCGAGTCGTAATCACGGTAGTAACTTCATCCCCGTTATAGTACACGGGATATCACGCTCGCACAACAAACGCGTTTCAGCGAACCTAACCTAAATATTCGGCGGTTGATCTCCGTTCCTTCCTCTCCTTCCTGCGCCAAGAATCCCTCGGCGGGATTCGGGATCAATTAATACGAAGTCGCGGTGCGGCTCGTAAAGAAAATCCACTTCTCTACCCCGTAACTATCGCGTGCCAGCTGGTGATAAATTACACACGCGAAGATAAATAACGTTACACTCTCTCTCTTTCTCTCTCTCTCGGTCATATCATTCCGCCGGGTTGCAATGAACTCTGACCCGCATGGTGCACCGCCACCGTGCTGCGCCGCCGATGCGCGGCAGCGAATGCTCGGCGGAGGCCCCCGGCGAAATGCCGAGAGAGGTGATTGCCGCGCTCGCATCCGCATGGCTGGGAAACGGTAAAAATCTTAATTGACCAAATAGCGTTAATTAATTAACGAGTCGACTCCTCGCAGGCGCTCATAATTCGGCGCGGAAATAACCGTCGGGATTGCGGCACCTGTGACCTTTCACGGGCTCCGTCGGCTACCGATCTACCGTATCTGCGCGCTGTAAAATCCAAATAAAAATATCCCCGGAATCCACGGCTATTCGTAATAAGACATTCGCCGAGGGAGGATGACAAGAGCGTCAAGGAAAATCTCGCCTTACTCGATACGTGCGATACTTTGCGCGACGCGCGCGAGGTATTCTATTGAAAGAGAGAGAAAGAGGGAGGGAGGAAGGTAAGGAGGGAGAGAGAGAGAGAGAGAACAAGTTTATACACACACACATACACGCACACGCACGCTCGCACGCACGCACACAGAGAGAGAGAGAGAAAAAGTTTCTTTAGATTTGCGTTTCTATTTATTTGACTAAAATTCGCTTCATAGAAACAACATATACGAAATATTATTTATTTGAATAAAAATTGTATCGTTTCATTTCAAGAAAACTCTATTATTTAACAGAAAAAACGCTACTATTTGAAATAATATCTTAACAAAATAAAATATTATTTGGTCACACTAAATATATTAAAAAAAAAAACACATAATTTCTTTATAAGAAAATTGTCTTTTGTTTTAAACGAATTTTTTATTTAAGATGAAAATACACATTCGTTGAAAAATCTAACAATCGTACTTATTAATTGAAACATTCGTTTTTTGGAGCATGCCAACGATGAAATTTGATTGGGTGCAATAAAATTTATTAAATTTGAAGAAATCTTTCTTTTAGTATATAATAAATGATTTTACATAGCTGGAAATATTTAATATATCGTTCCCGCCGTTCTAATCTCATGTTGCGTCCCAGTTTTCCGGTATTCTATTCCTGTTACGGCATACCGGATATTCACTCGCGACTCTGACTCTCGCGTAGATATGATTTTATCAGGGAAACACTTATCAATTAATGCCAAGATGGGAGCCCGAAATATCAATTTGGGCCAACGGGAATGACAAACCATCAACAAACACGCTGCACGCTGTCGCGTATATACCGCTTGTTGCCACGGAACACAATATTATTATTGTAATTATTATTGTAATTATTACTGTGTAAAATATTCTCAGATTTAATTCCATGTTAATGCACAACATCATCGGACGCACAATGTTATTTCTATCCTTGCAATCTCTTACTCGACCTTTGTCTTTGTTTCGTCGAGATGCTCTACCAGTCTCTCGAATTCGCATAATTAACCCTTTTAGTGCCGAACGACGATATATCGTCGTTCGCAACACTTGCGAAAAGTGCCAACGACGATATATCGTCGCGTATCCGAGGGCGTCTTACTATTCGCATTGCGAGAAAGCTCTGTCTCAAAATAAATTTATAAAACGTTATAAACGGTCTAACTTCATTGCAAAAGAATTTAAAAAATTGTTTTTGGATTTAACTTTTTGTTATATTCTATGCTGGTTGGTACCGAGGCTCCGTATATGCTGGAGCGATAAGATAGAAACTCGACACGTGACAGTTTCTTGGGATTACAAGTCGGTAATCGCAACATATTTATGATAGTTATCAGAGAGCTCATGTATCACGCCGTGCATCGACACGGCGAGACTAAAATCTTTCTTTCAGTCTTTCCTTGGCCTTTCTAAAGAGCATTTCTTAGCAGTCAGTGTTCGAAAACCGTCACCTTTTTGATACAATTATAATTATCAGCAGAGAATTTTGTCAATTTTGTTACTACCTTTTTACAAAACCTACACCCTGCCACATGCTGCTTTTTGAATTTTGTAAATATCATTTTTAGTTTGGTTTTTATAAGCTTTTTCCCAAACCTTAGCAAATTCGTCAAATTGGCTCGGTATTCTTCGCATAAGTACAATACTTTTGTTCGGCACTAAAAAGGTTAAGGTGAAGTCGAAGTTTCTGCCCGAGCAGACCGGCCGGCTGATACAGTCAACAATTGTCACGGACATAATAATTGCTACCTCGTCGACCATGATTAATTGTTTCACATTTCAACTTACCGTTCGCGTTTCCGCACGTGGCAGTGAGCTTATATATTCCGCAGACTGGCAGCTACCGTCTTCAGTATACAGAATGCAAGCGATAGTGTGCGCCTTATTGTTAGCTTTACTGTCGGCGGCGGCTGCTTACCACGATCCACTTTACGTGCCCGGCCACAATGTAATAGTGCATCTCTTCGAGTGGAAATGGCTGGATATCGCGAAAGAGTGCGAAGAATTCCTCGGTCCTATAGGATACGGTGGTGTCCAGGTGAGGGAGAGAAGGAGGACTGACAGCGCGGGATTTTTGTCGCATACAGTCCCTGGCCATATTATTAGACACATTTTGAATGTTTAACATTTGGAATGCAGGTTGAGCAGAAGAAAAGCTACTAATTGTATATTTACTCGGTCAGAATGATTTTCGATGTCAAACAGCGCTTTCACCTTTGCAACCTTCTGAGCTGTCAAATTGCTCGTTTTATTCATAATTTTTGTAAACAATATTAACATTTTGCTGGCGGGGAGGTTTAGCTGAAGGTCATACGCTCAGTGCGGACTATATTTGTATAACACTGAGAACGGGGATCTCCTTTGGGAAAAAGATTATAAAATATGAATACGTCTGTTTCTAAATATCAAAAAGTAATAAACGATGCGATATATTTAATTAAAGAAATACTTATCTATGTATTAAAATATTTGTTATATAAACTGAAATACGACTCTTAAAGATATAAAATCTTAGAGTATAACAATTAATACAACAAATATACATAATTTAATAAAATAAAGTTTATTTTCTTTGAATTACACGCGGATTTCAATCAATTTTCGCGAATCCGATAGCCCACACGTCAGATACAGTAATAAGTATAATAATATAGCGACAAGTTCCATCATATCCTAAGCATGTTTGACAAAAATTAACAAATATACAACTTCAGCTGCTCTAAAAATATTTATAAACTATTGCTTAACTTTTACTTGTCAAGCTTTATATACAGAAAAATCGATTTTTCTTGTTTTCTTTTACTATTCTGGTTTTTTTAAGAAAGACATACTACTACGTCAATCGCTCTCAGCTTTTCTTTTGAAAAGACGTACTACTACGTTAACCATTCTCAGCTTTGCTTTTGAAAAGACGTAGTACTACGTCATCCGACAGTGAAGTATTAATATCTTTCACATAAGAATTTGTTTTTCTGTTAGTAAGCAAGGAATTTGAAGTTTCAAGTCACAAATAGACAAGAGTGAAACTAAATTTCAATTAACACACACACTGAAAGCTCACGTCTGTTCTCGTTATTATCAATAAAGCAACTGGCGCGGGTTCATACTTGTTTCAAGGTCATTGTAACAGTCGACTGAAATGACGTCATAAAAAATACCTTTTATAGAATAACGGTTCCTTGACATAATTCGATCAATAGATAAGTCTGATCTTCAGATATCAATGAAATGTAACAAATTAAGGTGCGTCTAATAATATGACCAGGGATCATACACTGATAGAAAATTATAATTATTTTCGACACCAAATACTTTATAGTAGCAACACGTATATAAAGTTATTATCACTTTTATTGTTAAACGGTTATTGTACACCGGAAAAGATAGTCTTAAATTAATGATAGATGTCCTTATATATAAATGGGAATATTATGATACTTTTAGATTTTTAATCTTGAATTGAGTGCAAGTAACACGTGCATCAATACAAATTCAATCAAATCAAGACTAAGAATCTTCCAAGAAGATTATAATATTTGTGCTTATATATATGAGAATATCTTTTTTTTTTCTGTGCAATAACACTTACTACACGGAAAAAATATTGTGGTAAAACTTACTACAACAGTTGTAATGCTAGAATATATTATCGGAATTATTATCGAAATTATTATGTGTGCTGCCATTTTTAGTGATACATATCATGTGTATGTATAGCAACAACAACAACAATAATAATAATAATAATTTTATTGGTCAATACATACATTTAGATAATAGACAATTCGAAAACTGTATTTCGAAATATGCATAAGAATGATGCACGACCAAATCAGCNGGCCAGTCCTTGTCCCCCCCCCCCCTTCTTCCCCTCGATAATACAAACACTATCTGCAAACGTCCGCACGACGCAATATACACGAACACTGCTGAATAAAACGTAGCAAAGGAAGGAACAGAACGAACCTCCACAGTGGCAATGCATTAACAATATTTAAAAATGAACGAACACTTTTACTTTAGTCGAATAAATAGTCGTAAAATTAATATTATCGAAATCATGAAAAAAAAAGTGGTTAGAAAGAAAAGTTCCATGTAAAGTTAATTCTGCGACTATTTATTGATTATTCGAATAAAAGAAAAGTGTTTGTCCATTTTTACAAATGTATCGAATCGTGAATTGACAAATATCTTTTCGTGAATATATTTATACCTTTATTTGAATATAATATAACGTATAACGCGAAAAATTTTGGCATGCGTTTTCTCACTTCTGACGTCATTAAACAAAAACAGTCGTAGCGACTAGTCAGGAACCTTGAACTTACTCGTACGATGCCGTGGTAACGTTAATTGGTCTCGAAGACGTATGTCATGTCAATTACGTATGTATGTATGTAATTTTTACCTGCAGGAACCAGCTTCTAACTGTGAGAGCTAATCCTTTTTCTGTGTTTTCACGGAAAATTTTTCCGAGCTATTCGAGAAATTCGAAAATCGTTACACGATATTGAGGGAATTAAATTCGCGAGATGCGCGGAGCCTCGAGAAAATCGAGTCTTCACATATGAAAGAATAATTTTTTATCGAGCAAATGTAAACATCAGGTGATCGTAATGGTCGCGATGGCCGATAAGAAGTAAGTGGCGATGCAAGCGCGAATTGCGGTAGCTACACTGAAAGAAAAATATAATTATTTATAATATAATAATATCGGTTTTGTAACATCTTTTCGACATTGTCTGATTCTCACACGCATATAATAGTGTAATCTGCGTGCGCGGATTATACACAAATATACGGGACCTACGGTTTTAACGCCGGTTCCCAACGTCAACTTGAATGAGGTTTCTTAGCAGAGATACTCTCAATGGATTGTCAGTCCATCGGAGATAATAGGAGATACGAGCATATGAAAATATTTTGGTTCTATCGAGAAGCGGACCCGGGAAAACTTTAGTATAACAGACCAGTGCGCTGTCTGTTACGCTACGTTCGCGCTCAAATAATATATATAGTTATTTATAAATAAATTTATTTTTCTGTGTTTTAAATTTATTAAAAAATAAGTTATTTTCGAGGACAAAAATATCCTTTTTTCATTTTAACCACAAAAATAGTCGAGAGAACTATTTTTCTAACAAATGTCATTATAATGTCAGTGTTGATAACCTTACGTGCATATGTTGCTATTACTATTTTTATCGTTAAAATAAAAAAAAAGAGAATATTGTTGTCCCCGAAAATAATTATATTTTTCTCTCGGTATAAGGATTTCGCGCGACCGATCGGCAAAATCGATCTTCTCGCGACAACCGATTCGCCTAAGACGATGAAACTCATCGTCGCTTGCCGTATTAATAATCTGCAAATCGCCTACACCCCGCTGAATTATAGGTGTCTCCGATCCAAGAAAACGTAATCATTCCGTCTAGGCCGTGGTGGGAACGTTACCAGCCTATGTCTTACAAATTCGAGACGCGTTCAGGCACGAAGGCGCAATTCAAGGAGATGGTCGCGCGATGCAACCGGGCCGGCGTGAGGGTCTACGTTGACGCGGTGTTCAACCACATGACCGGCGATTTCGAGCCGGCGCTTGGTACCGGCGGCTCGACAGCTGACACCCGCAATCGTCTTTACTATAATGTGCCGTATTCATCGCAAGATTTTCACAACCCGCCGTGCAACGTAAACAACTATAATGACCCGGTGAACGTGCGAAATTGCGAGCTGGTCGGTCTGCACGATCTCAATCAAACGTCCGAGAACGTCCGTGATACCATCATCGATTTCTTGAATATGGCTATCGACATAGGTATCGCTGGTTTCCGGTTAGTGCCGAGTTTTTTAATTGAGGTGGTAGTTGGTCCGGAAAAACATTTTCTTAGGGATTCTTTCAAATTTTAGCTGCATATTAGTATTATTTATACATTTGTAAAGTTAGAAAGCTATTCGGGAGCTAAAATATTTGCAACTGAAGATGACTTTTTATACGTGTTCCTTCGGTTTAATGTTCTTATTTTAATTAACCTCTATTTTTAATTTCTTCTAAACCACGTTCAGAATTTGAATGAAAAACTATTGTCATATTAAGGACTAATATGGAAACATTGTACAAAAATTTCGGAATTTTGATCTCAAGAATTTTGTTCTCAAGATACAATCATAAGAAATTTACAATTTATAATAACGCCGGTGATATATGTACATGTGTACATATATATATATATATATATATGTGTGTGTATATTTAAATATTTATATACCGCTATCTATTACGCGTACACCTCTATTAGCTCAACTGACGTATAAATAAAGCATTTGTGAGAAAAATAAAAAATAAATAATATATCCTCGCATCTGTAATATTTTATATACATTTGTTTTAATTTTACGGTGCGTTCAAAATTAACTTAACCCTTATCGGTCGTAAGTCATCTCTCACGTGACAACATTATCGTCGCTGCGGTCGTACGTCACGTAGGAGGTGACAAATCGGAACCTGTCGAAACTCGCTCTCTGTCAAATGAATTATTACCATACTTAGTTCATATGATACTGGGTCAATGAAAACTGTATCAAGAATGACACGTGGTGGCTATCAGATAGAGCTTAAGAAACCTGAAGTGATATTGAATTATAACAAATTTATGAGCGGAGTGAACCGTGTAGATCAATTTGGATCTATGTACTGTTTTTTACCCAAATCATTAAAATGGTGGTGGAAAGTTTTTTTCTGGGGAATTGAAGTATCCTCTTTGAATGTTTATATTCTGTATAAAGCTGATTGTAAACATGACAACAGTAAACCAATGTCTTATATAAAGTTTATTCGGAAATTAGTTATGTCACTAATTGGGAATTTACGTGAAGGTGAAACTGCGCGATATGGAACACCATCAACAACAGACAATGAGGAGAGATTAGATGGAAAACTGTTATTCTTATGATACTGAAAAAATGTTATTCTTATAATATTGAAAATTCTTCGCATATTTACCGAAACCAGCTACAACCTAGTGAGAATCACGCATAAAAAATTAGCGTCCGATAAGGGTTAATAATTTATTATTTAGGTTATTAAATAAAGTTGTAGAAAAGTCTTTTTCTTCGATAAACAATAAACTTACAAATAATTTAACTTACGATAAACTTACGAAAGGATATTTAATATCACCATCAAAATTCCGACACTCTGTGGACCAACTACTTTAATTGTGCGTTTTAACAGAAAAATATAGAGGAAACGGTAGTATTGTAGTGAATCATCAAATTTTACAAAATGAGTAAGAAGAATACCTTTAAAATTTATAAATAAAAATATCGAGCGCACATTGTAATGAACCTCTCTCAGTCGCAGTTGAACACAGACTAACCAAAAACGCCCGTTTCATAGTTTCCAACTTAATACTTGCAACTTGAACTGATTTAACTATCCGATTTCAGAATAGACGCCGCGAAACACATGTGGCCGAATGATCTGAAGGCGATCTACGACAATCTGCAGAATGTCAATCAGGAACATAATTTCTGGCCAAATTCGCGACCTTACATATATCAAGAAGTGATCGATTATGACAACGAAGCGATCAGTAGATACGAATACACCGATTTGGCCGCGGTGACGGAATTCCTGCACGGCCACGAACTGAGTAAGGCATTTAAAGGGAACAATATGCTCAAGTGGTTCGTTAGCTGGGGAACTGAGTGGAATTTAATGAAATCGAAGGACGCCCTGGTGTTCGTCGACAACCACGACACTCAACGTAACAACAACAATATTCTCAACTTCAAAACATCGCGACCGTACAAGGCACGTAACTATTCAATTTTTCAGGAATATTTCGAAATTTCGGATGTCAGAACAAATCAAAATAATAAATAAGTAGTGACGATGAAAATGTAGCAAGCGCGTAATTAACACGTTGATTGCCGTGATAGTCACCGGTGACCGTAAGCACTGTGATATATCAACGCGTCTCATTGAGTTACCTGTAATTAATTGCATTTGAAAAATATATATATTTGAAATAAGAAATAACAAATAAATCTATGAATAACATTTTTATTCAGAAGTTATAATATGATGATTGTATAATATATTAAGTAAAAATAATACAATGAAATATAAATTCACACATACGTACACGCATGAGCGCATGTAAATAGCACAAATATTAAATGACGAATAACAAATAACGCAAATATCGAATAATTACACATACTCGAATAACAAATGATGTAAATAACGCGTAATGTGAATGACGAATAAAACAAATAATGAATAGAAATTTATTTAAATATCAATTAAGTAAGAATTTATTCGAATAATGTCCAGCTGTGCTATCCAAGCGCGGATCGCATCCAATGGGATATGTCTCGCATGTTGCAGATGGCAGTTGCCTTTATGTTAGCGCATAATTACGGGAACCCACGTGTAATGAGCTCCTTCAGTTTCGAAAACTTCAACCAAGGTCCACCATCGGACAACAACGGCAATATACTGTCCCCAATCATCCATCCCGACAATACCTGCGGCAACGGCTGGATCTGTGAGCACCGGTGGCGTCAAATATACAACATGGTGATCTTCCGCAACGCCGTCAACGGGACTACGGTCGACCACTGGTGGGACAACGGCGGCAATCAGATCGCTTTCTGTCGCGGTGAACGCGGATTCGTTGCATTCAACAATGAAAAGTTCGATCTCAGGGCGTCCCTGTTCACTTGCCTGGAAAGTGGGCTTTACTGCGACGTCATTTCCGGGGATCTGGTGAACGGAAAGTGCACCGGGAAAACCATAAGAGTGAACGAGAGCCGCTACGCTGACGTAGAAATTCGCACTTCGGACGAAGACGGTGTAATTGCAACGCATCACAAGGTAATTGCGCGAGCCTTCATTCGTCGCTCTTCTCTGGTCATTTCAACGGTCGCAAAAATACATAATCAGTGCTAAGAAATTAACAGAAGCCAATCTGTACGATTAGAATTATTTTCAAATACTAGATAATAATAATAATACTACATAATAATTGCACGATAAAGTCAACACGGAAAAACATTTTTTGCTGGCACGGCCAACTTGTCAGTTATGGTGATAACAAAAAGATTTATTAAAAGTATTAATTGCTTTTGGTGGATATGTGGACAGCAAAATAATTTGGTTATGCCAATTAAATTTCTAAATTGTTGTCGCAACGATGTTTGCTACAACTGCAAAATTATTTTCTCCGTGTAACAAATCTTTTTGTTGTCACCATAATAACTGACAAATTTGTTATAATAGCAAAATATTTTTCTCCGTTTAAAGTCGCGAAGAGAATGAAAGCAGGGCAAACAGAGTTCGTTAAAAATTGTCTTAACAAAGCAAAAGGTGTGAGAACGCCTTGGAGATGAAACAATTCGTTCTTTCGAACGCGACGTTCTGTTGTGTTTACGAGGAACTTATGTTTATTCAGCCGGCGTAACAAGTTACTTTTGTTGCGTTAAACTTCTTCGCGTCACGCTAATCACTCGTATCTTATCATAGTAGATTTCAATTTAATCTTAACTCGCCCCGACAGTATTCCCACGCGATTTCTCAGAATATAATAATGAAGTTATGATAATAAATTGCGTCAATTGAAATATCGACATGCTGATTGTCCTGCGGATTTCCGTCGAACGTTCGACAATTTAACCGAGGTTCAACTAACAAATGAAAAGATAGAACAAGCAAGAGGACTCTCTAATATACGTAGACATTTTCTTTATTGGCTTTTAATTTTTAATTTTTTATCTTCGTTTATTTTTCCGGTTTTCCGTAACCGCATGTTAAATTTAATTTTACGCAATTAGTTATATCTTTTACACATTAAATTAATGAGACAAGTCACTATCTTAAAGGCAATCACCGGTGACCAACAATACAAAATAACAAATGTCGTTGCAATATTTAAGGAGTTATGATGAATAATGATTTTTTCAGTGCGATTACGCATCTCGATTATACGTTAAAATGCCGTTCTTAATAATCAATTTTTCTTACCTGTAGATGAAGATTCCCGGAACATCGTGAAGTTTCAGCAGACATCTCAGTTGAAGAGAGATGAAGAAAAAATGGTCGTTGGAAAACTTTGTTGCTTCCTCGATTATATTATTATCGCCATAACAAATATGTTTACGTGAGATATGATTAAAAAAGTATTTTATTAACCACTAAAAATGGCTCTATCTTGGAGTGAGATTTCACTCGAGACGAATGAAAATTCGTTCAAAGCGATAATGAAAATACCGAACATAGCGATGTTCGGTATCGCTCGGAATTGCAAAAGTGAATGTTTCACTCAAGCTTAGAGTAGATTCTCACTCTGTACAAGTATTTCTATTGATTAAGTTCGAACGACTCAATTGTTATTCCACGTTTCAAATGAAATTTTATTGTAAGAAATTTAGATAATAGCGCACATACACACATCGCAAAATGGCCTGATTTATTTATCACCATCTTATTTCTCATCCCCGAATCCCGTGAATTACAATCCCACGTATTCGCGCGAGTTATTTATCATAACGATTTATTATATATGTCGCTTATACATTGTAACGATCGGTAAGAAAATTAAACGGGGTAGAGCACGTGTGCTATTTTTCAACAAGGTTTATTTTAACAGAAACAATGTACTGTTTGTTTTCCTCTTTTCACCATTAATTTCTACTATAATATATACATGTGATATGACAGTTAAATTGTAAGATAATACACGACAGACTCGCAATGGAGAAATAGAAAGAGTCGAAGGGAGATCAGGTGAGATGGGGTGTCGCAAAATCGATTGATTTTAACGAAGCAAGGAGGGCGGGGAGGGGGATGGAGCAGGGGAGATCGAGAGGATGAATGGGGAGGAAACGGGTACACCGGAGGATGAATGGAGAAAAATCTTGAGATATCACAAAAATAAATTGCCTTATCGTCGGTTTTCGCCACCTTTCTCGAACTCTCTTTTAATCCGTTATGCAATTAAGTAAATCCTTCGCCAAGAGAATCCGTCACCGATCCTACACCGTCGCGTAAATCCTTTCTTTCTCTCTCTCCCTCTCTCTCGTCCGTTTCTCTCGTTTCCTACATTTACTTTCACGGTTTTCTCGCTCTCTCGCTCTCTCTCTCTCTCTCCCTCTCTCTCTTTCTCTCTCTAATCGGACGAGTTTACCGCGTGAAATAATGAACCGCGTGACGCTCGTTGATACGCATTGGGATAGCGTGAGAACCTCGACTAAGACACTAAATAAAATACTACGAGACACTTGTGTGTAAAAGCACGACATAAATAAATGCTCAAGCGTTATGTACAGTGATCGTGTGTATATGTGTGTATGTTTTTAAGTAAAAGCCGCTGAGAAACTTTCGTATTTCGTGTGTCGACGCGCCCGAGTTCGAACCGCGCGCACGAATCGCNCCCCCCCCCCCTGTGCCGTCACTCGAGAGAGAGAGAGAGGACGAGTCGGGTCTCATTCGGACGTAGCGTTCGTTGAGTAGCAAACGAAGAAAAAGAAGAAGACGAACGAAAAGGGAAAAGAAATGCTTCCGCAATCACGTTATCACGTATACACGTTCATACATACATATGTATGCTGAAAGGATATATCGTGCCGTTAATTAGGATTGATGCGGGCACGTGGTGAACATACTCGGAGAGAACTGTAATTAGCTATCCGCGCAAAACCGTAGTAACATAGCGCGCGCCATCACAACGTCTAATTACCAATGGTAATTTTGCACTGCGAAGTAGCGAACAAGCTTAACCTAGTCAGCCGCGGCGAACGCGAAGGAATTGTTTTTACTTTAGTCGTGAGCGTTTCCTTTCTTTCTTTCTTCCTCCTCCCCCTCCCCCCTCCCTTTTTTTCTTTCTCTGCTTCATTATCTCGGCGTTATCGTCGATCGAATTGAACGCAGAATGCAAATGTTATGCAGTCGCGAGATGCGTCCTCGCGTGTAATTTTGCAGTGAGACGCCAAATCTGGAACCTTTCTTTCGGCGGAACGCGAACTCGGGAGCGCGGGGTAACATGCACTATCGAAGCACGTGCTGCCTCAAGGGTGTGTGTGTGTGTGTGTGTGTGTGTGTGCTGCTGCTCCTGTGAACGTATGTATACGTACAGTTCTAACTTTACGTAGTTTGCAGTAAATTTAGGCTAATGTGTAAATCTAAAAATACTGCTCGTCTTACGAACTGATCTCTCTCTCTCTCTCTCTCTCTCTCTTTCTCTTTCGTTCTTTCGCTCGCTCGCTCGTTCTCTCATTTATTTCACTGCCGCTCTCCCGCACGCGCGGTACACACATAAGCGTGCACACTTTGATGTCGCCCTACCACCGTTTTACGTATCTTAATCGTTACGTGAATACAATAAGGCAACGGTACTATACGTTCTAAATAAATAAACGCTTGCGTGTCGAACGTTAAGGATTAAAGGGGGGCGACAAATTAAATGGGGCGTTTAATGTACAATTTCCTAAGAGCTAAGACGGATCCGTCGCACGTGAAACATTGTCGTCGTCAACATTCGCGATATCGCGCGGTATTGGTATGTACTCGTGTGCAAGTATGTGTGTGTGTGTGTGTGTGTGTGTTAATATGTATGTATACGTATGTTCATGTGCTCGCACGTGGATCTCATGTTTTTTTCTTGTTTGCACATAGAGCGCTAGCAAAAATATAATTTAGTATATATTTATCGTAATAATTCATCCATATAAAAAACTTCGTTAAAATATATAAAAGAAACAACGATTTGAGCAAATACGTATCTCCTATGTAGTTTAAAATTATCGCGTCGAAACGTATTTATTTATTGTTATTGCACATAATTTTCCCTAATTAGATCGTCTCTCTCTCCTTGTTTCGCATATATATATATATATATATATATATATATATATATATTTCCGTAACCCCCCTCTCCCCTACGTCTCGTTTCTTTTTTTGCCACTTTTTTCTCATTATTTTGCCGCACACTCGCATTCTCGCGCGCGTAATCGCACTCGCCCCCGACGTATGTACACGTGTACGCGCGATCGCGTACTTCACACACTCCTCTTCTCCTCTTCGCGTCACGTCTTTCTCTCTTTTTGAATCGTCTCTCTGTCTTTCTCTTTTTTTTATCCCGAACTATACGTACACGTCGCTCAGAGGCAGGACCTCGGCCGGTCAAATTTCAAGATAGTCTTCGATCGCGAGACGATCGAGAGACGACGTGTGATTTCGTTAATGATCGAGAGCAAGGCCTCGCCGCTTCGGACGATCCGCGATTCGCAAGGGAATCTATCCACAATGTTGCGCACGATACGAAGAAAGTTTGAAGATTTGCGCACACGTGCCAAAAACGTGTCATTTCGATTGTTTTCGTCATTCGAAACGTTGATGTCATTCGAATGTTTTTCTCTTGAAAAATATTATATATATATATTTCTTTTTTCTAGAATTCAGTTTTTCCGCTTTCTACTCTGAATTATAGATCACCCGAGGCGCGGGCTTGTTGCGCGCGATGTGCCATCGCGCGTCGAAGACTGATCCGAGCACGCTGCTGCCACGATCGCTCGACAACGTCGTCCTGGAAGACCTTGTACGAAAGTAGGCACTGGTTTGCTCGATTCACACGACCGCNCCCCCCCCCCCCCCCCCCAACCTTCCCGTCTTCCGAACGAAAGTTCAGATGTGTCTACCGCGACGTTGCATTGTGATCGACGTTTTTGAACTGAATCTCGAGTGCACTTCTCGACAACGAACGGAATACTCCATCGTATTTCCAGCGCGCTCGCTCGCTCGAAATTTTCCCCCTGAAAAATTTTCGGGAAAATTTTCTCGTCAGTGCGGATAACGAAAGGAAACAAAAGAAAAAGGAGAAGAAGAAGACAAAACACGCGAAGTGCACCGTACACAAATTGAAACACATCATCCCAAGCTGCTCGCCAACCCGCTCGCGTTCCGCGTCAGGTCTCTGCGTTGCTCTCCTGTTCTTAGGCTCTGGATCCAAACCCGGTACTCGAAACCACTCTCTCTCGTCTTGAGCATTCGCGGCCTTTAGGCGCTGGCTTTTGCGAAGTCTCTCCTCTCTCTCTTTCCTTCTTCCTCTATCTATCGTCCTATCTTTCCTCCGGCGGCTCCGGCGGCTCGCAGAGCGCCAGAAAGCGAAAGTCGGTCTCTCTCTCTCTCTCTCTCTGTTTCGAGGTTTTTTTTCCCTATCTAAGGCTCTCGATCGGGGCACTTAGGTCACCTATACTGACAACAGGCGGAGTCTCCACACATACCCGTGGTAACAATACGAAAGTATGTCTTCCACAGTCTCGCAGATATTCATCGCATTCGTCCACGTCTCGCGTGTCACTGCTTGATCGGCTTCTTGAAGACTACTTCCGGCTTGCGTACCGGACGGGGCACGCGCCGCTCTATCCTGAGGGCCCGGTTCGGGTCCGGAGACGGGGTCATACCGACCGCTGCTGTCTCGGGCCCCAACGGGGGAGTCTCCGCCATTGTTTGTCAGTTCCCGGTGCTGCTCGGTCGTCGGCCCGACGTCTGTTGCTGCTGCTGCTGTTGCGATTGCTGCTGCTGCTGCTGCGGTTGTTGCGACTGCTGCTGCGTCACCGCAGCGGCGGCCGCAGCACTCAGCGCCGGTAGCGGCGTTTGGTGGCAGTGCGCGCAGTGCAAGCATACCGTGCAAGCGCCGAGCTTCCGGGCGAGCATGGCGCGCAGCTTCAACGCTGGACCGAGCTTCATGCCCATCGGGCCCGTCAGGTGGTCCTCCGACAGCAACGGCAGCGCCGCACCGTCGATGCGATGCTCCCGGAAATTCTGCGAACAGAAACAGAACGGTGACGCGTTATTATCGCCGGCCGGATCGTACGGAAAACGGTATTTTGCTTTTCAATGATGTATCAAGAAATACATTTAGTGTTTATCGAACAAAATTACATTTCTATACAATATCTAAGTAACAAATGTTAATTTGAAATGAAGTTAAGGTAAAAATATGTATACAATATTATAAGTAGGAAAATATTATTTTTCTCATTAATGCTATATTTCTTTTTTAATTACGTATCAGTTGTGGCCCAACAGACAAGTAAAAAAAGAAGTATATATATATATATATATGTGTTTCGAATATTTTACTATAAAGTGGATTTTACACCGCCGTATTTTCAAAACAAAATGGCACTCGCGCGCTAACGCTTCTCACCGTCGGCGCAACCCCGCAAGAAACACGCACCGGCATTATTCGTCCGTCGATGTGACCCCCTTGTCATCGTCGTCGTTGACGACCTCCGACCGACTCGAATCACGGCCGAAGGCCGTCCTCTCACCGGCAGCAGCTGCTGCAGCCGCGTCTCCCGCGGAATCCCGCGAATTCGTCTCACGCGATTGGCGCGCGGACGAGACGGACCGTCATTTCCGCCGGCATGCAAAAAGTCAATCGCTCTTGCCCTCCCCGAGAGGAAGAAGAGGAGGAGAAGGAAGAAGAGGAACGCGAAACGGAAGGACGCGAAAGGGCGAAAAAAGCAAAGAGAGACCGAAGGAGGTGCGGCGGGAGGCAAAAGAACGACGAGCGTTGCGCGTTTCATTCACCGCACCGGCGGCCGCGCCTCGCGTAATTGCAGCTGCAGCAGCAAGCTGAGCGGCAGCGGGGTGCGCGTGAGTACGTAAGCGCGCGAGCGATCGCGCGGACGTCTCCTCCGTGCGCCTCCGTACACGTTCGTGGAATACGGTAATTGCTCGGCCCGCTTATGAATGAAATATTCAGCGGCGTAATGCGAGTCGCGCACGCAACGGCAGACCGGTCTCCTTCGCGCGCATGCCGGCCGGCTCCACGAGGGGGGAGCGGCGGGAAGGGGATCGACGCGGATCGAGGCCGAGTGCATTCATGCCGCTGGGCATTCAGGTCTTTCTTTCTCTTTCTCTCCCTCTCTTTACCTCCGCGGAGATAGCGTCTAATTGGTCGGCTTTAGAAGGATTAGTGCGGGGCGATTACTTGTCATTGACATCGAGTCGATGATCCTTGCGAATTCGATTCTGATGATTCCGGGCGGTGCGTGAGAGAGCAGTGTTGCGACAGACACATTTTTTGAAATAATCAGGTACAGATAGGTGAAAGGGAAATGTGAGTCGATATAGGTGCAGATATAGATCATAGATAGATGCAGATATAAACTTTAGGTAAATAATTAGATTTAGATAAATATACTATGGGAATATATGCTTCATGAAGTATACTTAGATATATTTTTGCAATACATGTGTCTGTATCTTATTATTTAAACTCAAAATTGTATCTGTATCTGTATATAATATTTATATTTCTCTTTCGGTCTCTGTATCTAGTTACTTCAAAAAATGTATCTCTCACAACACTGCAAAAGAGAAGATTTGTCCCTCTTTAACATTTAACTTTAACGGTAACTTATTAGGCTTATGATGCCTACACGCATTTTCCTTTGCTCAACTCTTCTTCCACTTTGTGTAAGACGCTATACTCCCGCTCCTATTCCTCCATCGGTGAAAAAAAAATATGTTGCATCCATATAACCAGTGCTATTATCAGCTTGATTCAATGAAATTACTGGTTTCCTGGTAACCAGTCTACAAAGACAATAAATAAAAATTCACAATAATTTGCTGCTGATGATACGCAACAATTGATAACGAATAAAAATAATAAACTCAATAATTCATAAGATTAAAAGAATGCCAAAAAAACTATGATATTTACCACTTTTTTTCGTGATGTATGCCTAAGAGACCTATGATATTACTTCAGCATCAAAGTCGCGAGTGTTGCTCTCAGTTAATCTTAGAATGCTAACGTCTCCAAGACGTAGATATCTTTTACCCTTCCTCCTCTCTCCTCTGTTTCTCATCCCGCCAGGATATTATTTTGTTTCATATCTTGAAAATATATATATGTCATTAAAAATTCTTTAAGTTGCCTTTTCTTAATCTTTACACGTTTCCTCAAGAAAATAAAGTCAAGCGCATAAGCCCAGAGTAAGAGTTAATATTCCACGGTTAAAGTTTACTTTCCTTCGGTAACAGGACGACGCTTCGCGAAACACGAGACGAGTTAATTAATTCAGGATAAAAATAAGATGCTGTGTTCTCCGGCCGTTTCGCCGGTCGGCCAATAATATCCAATCTGTGACTCATCGCAACTGGAAAATATCCCCAGTACATCCACCGTGCCACCGGAAATCCATACTGTTGACTGCGCGAGTTTCTCGCGAGAAGGATCAAAACGCGTTAACAATCGCCGGCGATGAAACGCGCGGTCATTGATTACGGTAAATAGGCACCGTACTGTTTCGGATTCCCGGTGCGTTCACGGCTCTAACGGTATGAGTCCGGCCACGCGCGAAAGCAGCCGCCTCCTTCACGGTCGCCTCGCGTAAAACGCTAATTAGTTAAGTCGTTCGCACCGCGTGCAAGAAATCGTTCCCCCCGATCCCCGCGCGAGAGACCCGGGTATGCACAGAGCACTTTGTCCGACACGGTAACATTCTTGCGAATTATCCAAAGCACACACGTATCTGTGAGTTACCGAGACTCATCAAACAAATGTGGAATGATTCGCGCTCTTCTCCTTTTCGGCGCGAAACGTCGGACCGAATTTCATCAACGCGATTTATGAGAATTCCGATTTCGATCGGCCGAATGTCAACGCAAGGAAAATGTCTTGCAGATTATACCGAATCAATATCAACACCAAAATTGTAACCTGAATCTAAATTGTTAATTCTAGTTAAATTTTGGCCATAATACAATTAAAATTAAAACTTAACTCTAATTTCCACACAATATTTTCATATAATTTCATATTATAAACGACAATTTTCATATATTAAACAATCATTCGATGAGGCTTTCGTGTGGAGAAAAAAGGGAATGTTTCTACAAATTATCGTTTTAAAGCTAATTTGTTACTTTTTGAGATGATATGTGTATACGACTTTTAAGAATTTATAATTATTTTGAGACTATTGGGAGACACTTAAAAATGTGAAATTTGAATTTTATTTTTTCTGACAGCATGAAACATAAAACTAAGAAATTATAGTCAAAATATATAATCTATTGTTTTATCTTCATACATATTTCATGTGTCATTAATTTACAAAAATTAAAATATAGTTTTGACCACATTTATTGAACTATAGCTAAATAATTTTCTTATTATCACTTTCTGCTTCAACACAAACATAAATAGAAAGAAATCAAATTAAATACAATATAATTTATGATACATTTGTTGATCAGTATTACCGGCAACGCGAAAATAAATAATTTAACACACATAGCCAACTTTATGTCTCGAAAAGAGAAACGGAGGAGAGAGAGAGAGAGAGAGAGAGAGAGAGAGAGCCGAGGTGAATTACGAATTCCACCGCGTCCGTTGCATACATTAAAAAACGCGTCCACCCACCCAAATACCCAAGGCCTGATGAGGACGAGGGGGTTACGCACTTCATTGTTTTCGCGAAGCGAAATATAGCAGGTAGTTTCGAAATCTTGCGAAACGACCGACCGACCGACGCGGTTCAGCGCGGCGCGGCGCAGCGCGGTCGTTCGACTCGCGCGGCGCAGCTGCAGTTGCAGCGAATATATCATCCTCGTGTTGCACCGCGGGCGACCGGGCGCGCACCAAAGGCCGGGTAACGAAGACAACCTATATTTTCTCCACCCAGTTCCAAACTCTTAAGGGCAAACGCGATCTCCGGCTGGTCCTGCATCAATTATACCTTCCACAAACACGATGTTAGGCCCCCACGTACTCGTCGCGCCGTGTTATTCGCGAGAACAAGCGAGAGCGAGCGAGGGATGCGTCGGGAGCGTGTGTGTTATTAAATTATTCGCGCGCGTCATTGCGTCTTACGCCAAAGGGGCGGAAGGGGGGAGCCCCCTCTCGAGTTATGCGCGTAGGCTTATCAGATATGCCTGGCGGGCCCGGAGGCGTCAAGCGGAATTTAAATTGGTGAACATAGAAATGTTCGTGTAACGATATAAATGCACGTTGCGGCGGCGACTCTCGCAATATTTATTGTGCGCCTCCTCTCTCGCGCCTCCTTTCTTCTCGCGACTCGTGTGACGCCCGCGGACTCAGACGAAAAGCACCAAACCTGACCAATAGGTATGGTAAGTCGACCTATCCATATTTCTCGGTTTTAAAGTATCGAACTCGGTCACGAACAGTGCACGAACGTCGTCCGCTGCGTGCAGCAGGTGGACCTGAAGCGGTAGTTTCTGTCTGCAAGCGCGTTTGGTTGGTATGTTATTAGCGTCAGTTGACGCTTTTCGATGTGAAGTTTTCTCGAGCCATCTTCTTGCAAATTTTCAAGTAACAAATCAACGGTAAGTGTGATTTGTTGGACAATACAGTACGGTTGTCACAGGCAGTAAATTATTTGAAAGAAGTAACGTTATGTTGGAAAAATATCAAAGAACTTCTCTTTTTTTTCTCTTCAGTGGAACGATATTTAATATATAACGAATTACATTTTTCTGACTAAAAACATGAAATATTACTTACTCTAAGTAATACTTTTTTTTTTTTTTTACCAAACAATATAGTTTATTCTAGTGAAACAATATTTTCATTCAAACACAAAATGATATTTGATATTAGATTATACTATTTATGCTAGACAAATCCAAGTTAAACAAATACGTATATCAAATCCAAAAAAAAAATCTGTATATTTCTCTGTATAGATATTTTATAGATATTTGCAGGACAATATCTTGAGGAAAGCAGAATTTTCGTAGAGAAATGTTTGCATCTACGCATATAAGTAAATATTAAT